TCTCCTGTGGCAGCAAGAAAAGCAAAGGATACTTCACAGCCTGCGCAGGGGAAAGAAACTTTTTTTTTTTTTGGATGGAGGAGGGGGTATAACCCCTGATGGGCTTTTTTTGCCATCTGTGTCCCATTGGGGGAGATTTCCCATCACTTCCTGTCCCATAGCCAAAACAGGAAGTGATAGGAAATCCTCCAAGTTGAAGGAATCCCTGATTGTCCCCAGCACTAGTGTCCTGTTTCTGGTGACAACCCAACATGTGGGATTTTCTTTCACTTTCGATGATAATGGTAATCAGGACACGGGGAGGGATCTCCTTGGGGGGATCTCCTCGGGGGGATCTCCTCGGGGGGATCTCGGGGGCAGAGACTGCAATAAAACCTGACAGGGGGTCCAGTCCCTCTCCACTCCATCCAACACCTAAAAAGCTTTTAGCTGTAGGTATAGTTTAGCAGTTTTGTGAGATTAGGGAGGTGCTCTGTATGACTTCCAGGTATCCGTTCCTTTGTTGCAGCGTTAACCATGTATATGCCACACCTGGCCAATGTCCCTGAGATCCAGAAAACAGACAGTGGATGCCATTACTACCTCAACGCTTGCCACATGCTTCCGGTCCTGCACCAGTTGGCTGCCCTTCTGGAGTACGGGCTCCATTCAGAGAGCTGTGCATTTACAGAATGAATGCAAAGTGTTTTCTGATTGGATGAGGTGGTGATATCGCACTGTCCACCTCATCCAATCAGAAAACACTTTGCATTAATTCAGAAAATGCTGCTGAGCTGAGAGGCCGACCTCCTGCATGGGATTGGGAAGCTAGAGGAGGTTGCTGGAGTAGCAGTGTAGGCAGGACCGTCTTAATAGCATCATGGGCCCCTGGGCAAAGTAATGGCCCCTACCAGCCTGCCCCAATTTACACACCTACTCTCAGGGATTAAAGTGTAAATAGTTGCTGGAATTAAACATATTTATTAGTACTTCTCCAGTAACACTGATTTTAAACAAGAAAGCATAGAATACATCAGACTAATCAACACAAAGGGCCACAGTACAGGGGGAGTCAGGAGGGCATAGTACAGGGGGAGTCAGGAGGAAACAGTACAGGGGGTAGTCAGGAGGAAACAGTACAGGGGAAGTCAGGAGGGCACAGTACAGGGGGGAGTCAGGAGGGCACAGTACAGGGGAAGTCAGGAGGGCACAGTACAGGGGGGAGTCAGGAGGGCACAGTACAGGGGGGAGTCAGGAGGGCACAGTACAGGGGGAGTCAGGAGGGCACAGTACAGGGGGAGTCAGGAGGGCACAGTACAGGGGAAGTCAGGAGGGCACAGTACAGGGGGAGTCAGGAGGGCACGGTACAGGGGAAGTCAGGAGGGCACGGTACAGGGGGGAGTCAGGAGGAAACAGTACAGGGGGGAGTCAGGAGGGCACAGTACAGGGGGGAGTCAGGAGGAAACAGTACAGGGGGGAGTCAGGAGGAAACAGTACAGGGGGGAGTCAGGAGGAACAGTACAGGGGGGAGTCAGGAGGAAACAGTACAGGGGGGAGTCAGGAGGAAACAGTACAGGGGGGAGTCAGGAGGAAAACAGTACAGGGGGGAGTCAGGAGGAAACAGTACAGGGGGGAGTCAGGAGGGCCACAGTACAGGGGGGAGTCAGGAGGCCACAGTACAGGGGGGAGTCAGGAGGCCACAGTACAGGGGGGAGTCAGGAGGGCCACAGTACAGGGGGGAGTCAGGAGGGCACAGTACAGGGGAAGTCAGGAGGGCACAGTACAGGGGGATCAGGAGGGCACAGTACAGGGGGAGTCAGGAGGGCACAGTACAGGGGGGAGTCAGGAGGAACAGTACAGGGGGGAGTCAGGAGGGCACAGTACAGGGGGGAGTCAGGAGGAAACAGTACAGGGGGGAGTCAGGAGGAAACAGTACAGGGGGGAGTCAGGAGGACACAGTACAGGGGGGAGTCAGGAGGGCCACAGTACAGGGGGGAGTCAGGAGGAAACAGTACAGGGGGGAGTCAGGAGGGCACAGTACAGGGGGGAGTCAGGAGGAAACAGTACAGGGGGGAGTCAGGAGGGCACAGTACAGGGGGAGTCAGGGAGGCCACAGTACAGGGGGGAGTCAGGAGGGCACAGTACAGGGGAAGTCAGGAGGCACAGTACAGGGGGAGTCAGGAGGGCCACAGTACAGGGGGGGTCAGTAGGGCACAGTACAGGGGGGAGTCAGGAGGTCACAGTACAGGGGAAGTCAGGAGGGCACAGTACAGGGGGGAGTCAGGAGGGCACAGTACAGGGGGAGTCAGGAGGGCACAGTACAGGGGGAGTCAGGAGGGCACAGTACAGGGGGGGGTCAGGAGGGCACAGTACAGGGGGGGAGTCAGGAGGGCACAGTACAGGGGGGAGTCAGGAGGGCACAGTACAGGGGAAGTCAGGAGGGCACAGTACAGGGGAAGTCAGGAGGGCACAGTACAGGGGGGAGTCAGGAGGGCACAGTACAGGGGGGAGTCAGGAGGGCACAGTACAGGGGAAGTCAGGAGGGCACAGTACAGGGGGAGTCAGGAGGGCACAGTACAGGGGGAGTCAGGAGGGCACAGTACAGGGGAAGTCAGGAGGGCACAGTACAGGGGGGAGTCAGGAGGAAACAGTACAGGGGGGAGTCAGGAGGGCTCGTACAGGGGGGAGTCAGGAGGGCACGTACAGGGGGGGAGTCAGGAGGGCACGGTACAGGGGGGAGTCAGGAGGCACGGTACAGGGGGAAGTCAGGAGGGCACGGTACAGGGGGGAGTCGGGAGGGCACGGTACAGGGGGGAGTCGGGAGGGCACGGTACAGGGGGGTCGGGAGGGCACGGTACAGGGGGGGTCGGGAGGGCACGGTACAGGGGGGGGTCGGGAGGGCACGGTACAGGGGGGGGTCGGGAGGGGCACAGTACGGGGGGAGTCGGGAGGGCACAGTACAGGTTGTGGTTCATCCCAGGACAGCTTAGTAAAAAGCGTGACTGTCCCAGCAAATCCGGGACAGTTGGCAAGTATGATGTAATGGAAGATTATCATGGGACCCCCATGCACCTGGGTTTAATCTGGGACAATGTATGTACAACAATATATACATTACGGCTTTGAAGTGGCATGTTGGGATGATGCTGGCAGCTGTGGGCATCATTCTGGTATTATTTTTTTTTTTTTTTTTTTACAGGAGGTGATTGGCTTTTATGTAAAAGCCATCTGAGCAGCTAATTAGCAGCTGGTTTGCTTTTACAGGTGATGGGAGAGGTCCCCCCCCCCCCCCCCACCCCACCTCCTCCTGCCTTCTGCTGGTGGCTCTCCAGGATCTCTGTCCCACCAGCTTACCATAGAGCCCATGTGGGACTGGAAGGTCCCTGATATAGGAAGCAGTGTTGTCACTCCCGGTTTACCTGGAAGAAAGCGGGTCTCCATTGTTACATGTTACAGCGTTGGATTACTGAGATCTTGGCGTGATCACATGCTTTGAGGGCAGAGGAGAGGTCTGGGGTCTAATGCACCCCACATCCCTCCATAAAGAGGACCTGTCACCGACTACCAGGTCACGGGGGATGTTTACATTCCTCTTGACAGCAATAAAAGTGATTAAAAGAAAATAAAGTGTAAAAATTAAAAAATATTTGAAATAACGAAATAAATAAGAAAATTAAGGTTTTTGGGGGGTTTTTTTTTTATACCCCCCCCCTTTCCCCGGGGAATGTTTCCATTGCCTGTGACAGCAAAAAAGTTCTTAAAAACATGCAAGTTTCAAAATAAAAATAAAGTCTTAATTTTATTATTTTTTAAACGTGCCCCCCAAAACAACCCCCCCCCCCCCCCCCGTTAACCAACACGCATTGATCCTGTGCGCAGACGGTGACTGCACCACACATGTGAAGTAATGCCACAAGCGTCAGAGTGAGAGCAATAATTCCAGCCCCAGACCTCCTCTGTAACTTAAGTACCGCAGTTCGCTGCCATTCCACAAGAGTGCGCACTCTTCTAGCGTGACATGTTTGGTATCTCTTTACTCGGTGTAACGCTGTATTTTATATTTTACCATAAAAATGGGCTATTGTGTTTTTTTGCCTTTTAAAATTGTTAAAAAGTGTAAAAAAAAAAACCATTGCATTTGGAAAAATTGCTGCGCGTGATGTAAAAAATGGCAAAACCCACCATTTTATTGTCTAGGGCCTCTGCTAAAAAATATATGTTTGGTTTCCATGCAAGAATCAGTATTTTTTGCTGGAACCCCCAATGTGTCAGAAAAGGCCGGGTCTTTGGTTGGAGAGGATCTGTCAGGACGCGAGTGGAGCTTTCCTTACTATTACTTCACTGCCTTATGAGTCAGCAACCTGGAACAAGCATGCAGCCAGTGAAGTCTATAAAGGGTGCATTCTTGCTGGCGTACTTGTTCTTTAGTGAAGGCCGGAGGAGGAGGAGAGCCCGGATGGATCATTCCCTATGTGTGGCCCATTTATAAGGGGCCATGAGATGCTTTTTCCTGGACTATCTGATGTGTTGCTGCGTGTGCGATCCGTGTGACGCGGAAAGTCGCTGGATCTATGATGGAGGGAGTGGCGCAACGCGCAGACTTCAAAGACATACTATTAATAACAAAGGAAAATGGTGGAGTTTGAACGTATGTCCCCATCAGTGAATGCCATCTCCAGGACTGTGCAGTGTGTTTCTATAGACGCAGAATCCTAGGGAGGTGACAGAGTGAAGGTCAGACTAGTAAAAAACGCATGTCACTGTGCATGGTGTGTCCATCAGGGAGCTCCACCCATAATAATAGAGACAGTCTCCGGCACTAATTGCTTCACCAGGTCTGGCTTTCCGTGTTGATGAGAGATGTCTGTGGTTGGAATGGGGGGGGGGGGGGGGGGGTTCATGGATTGGTGGCGGGGGAGGGGATTGCGGTTTGTGAGTGGTGTGATATTGCGGTGACATTTTGGGGGGAATTTGCGCCCATCTTTTATGCGATAACCTAGTACCGGTCTCTCCATTCACAGAAAGCCAAGCTGGGCCCAGCCGGCAACAAGGTGATCAGCCCCATGGATGACCGCAAACCGTACAACAACATCGACAACGTCAAACTGACCGACTTCATCTTCCTGATGGTGCTGGGGAAGGGCAGCTTCGGAAAGGTAGGAGAATGGCGGCCGCTATTGTGGTTGTAAAACCCTCCATATCCCCAGAGATGAAACAAATCATCCTACAAGTTGTACCTGTTTATCTGCACCCATCTATTCTCTACAGTTGTGCAGAATTAATAAAGCTTGTCTGAGCTTTCAGAAAGCAGGGGGCATGGAGCTGAATTACACTCTGCAGAGCTCAGTGAGAGCTGATTGGAGGAAAGGGACACACCACCTTCACACAGGAACAGAGCTGAGGCTGTCAATCACAGGCTGTGTGCTGGAATTCCCTCCCCTGTCACCATTTATCGCTTGGTGTTAGAAGTGACTCCTGCTGATAGCAGAGGAAGGAGGCAGCAGACAGTCATTACACTCAGTGCTCTGGATTGAGACAAGTACACACTATAGAGGGATGTGCTTTGTTCATGTTTTATATCTGAGGTTTACAACCACTTTAAATGTATCCAACTCCAAAGACAGAAATGTCAGATATTGCACCGTACCAGTCCAGAGATGTGGCGGCTGTGTTTGTTTTCCTATATCACATTAATTGCAGCTGTTACATTGTAAAACATCTAACACCAATATAATCTACTGCAATCTACTGATCCTTTCATGTGGTGGCTGCATTAGTTTACTTTTGTTGATCCTGCCATTAACACCCCGTCTGCCCTAGGGTGACAACCCTGACTTTCTGTTCTGTATCTATGGAGGTGGCGTTGTCACCTGAGAACAAAATCACATGACATCTCGCCTCCCCTCATCTCCATACCATAGAGAAGGGGTATAGCTGGGAACAATGGAACCAATTCCTTCTCCATTTGTGCTCATGGGTATCATGATGCTCACTATATTTCTGGCAGGATCAACAGGGATTTGTTTGCACTCATGGAACTGATACTATATCTCCTTGTGCCTTCTCCCGGTATCGGGGAGCCCCCAGCATGTTCTCAGATATGGGGGTACAATCATTTTTCTGTTCCTTTGGCAGGTGATGTTGGCGGAGAGGAAAGGCAGCGATGAACTTTATGCTATAAAAATCCTGAAGAAGGATGTGGTGATCCAGGATGACGACGTAGAATGTACCATGGTGGAGAAGAGAGTGCTAGCTCTGCAGGACAAGCCGCCCTTCCTGACCCAGCTGCACTCCTGCTTCCAGACAGTGGTAAGAGCCCCACAGATGGGCACTGGGCCAGGCTGGGGGGTCAGATGGGGAAGGACAGGGCCAGGTTCAGATGGGGGGACAGGCTCAGGCTGGGGGGGTCAGATGTGGGAAGACAGGGTCAGGCTGGGGGGGGGGTCAGATGGGGGAAGGACAGGGTCAGGCTGGGGGGGTCAGATGGGGGAAGGACAGGGCCAGGCTGGGGGGTCGGATGTGGGAAGGACAGGCTCAGGCTGGGGGGGTCAGATGGGGGAGGACAGGGCCAGGCTGGGGGGGTCAGGTGGGGGAAGGACAGGGCCAGGCTGGGGGGTCAGGTGGGGGAAGGAAGGGCCAGGCTGGGGGGTCAGATGGGGAAGGACAGGGCCAGGCTGGGGGGGTCAGGGTCAGGCTGGGGGGGTCAGATGGGGGAGGACAGGGCCAGGCTGGGGGGGTCAGGTGGGGGAAGGACAGGGCCAGGCTGGGGGGGTCAGGTGGGGGAAGGACAGGGCCAGGCTGGGGGGTCAGGTGGGGGAAGGACAGGGCCAGGCTGGGGGGTCAGGTGGGGGAAGGACAGGGCCAGGCTGGGGGGTCAGGTGGGGGAAGGACAGGGCCAGGCTGGGGGGGGACAGATGGGGGAAGGACAGGGCCAGGCTGGGGGGGTCAGATGTGGGAAGGACAGGGTCAGGCTGGGGGGGTCAGATGTGGGAAGGACAGGGTCAGGCTGGGGGGGTCAGATGTGGGAAGGACAGGGTCAGGCTGGGGGGGTCAGATGTGGGAAGGACAGGGTCAGGCTGGGGGGGTCAGATGTGGGGAAGGACAGGGTCAGGCTGGGGGGTCAGATGGGGGAAGGACAGGGTCAGGCTGGGGGGGTCAGATGGGGGAAGGACAGGGTCAGGCTGGGGGGTCAGATGGGGGAAGGACAGGGCCAGGCTGGGGGGTCAGGTGGGGGAAGGACAGGGCCAGGCTGGGGGGTCAGATGGGGGAAAGAGAGGGTCAGATGGGGGAAGGACAGGGCTAGGCTGGGGGGGTCAGATGGGGGAAGGACAGTCCCCACCTAAACCGACATGTCCATGTATGGTGGATGGTCTCTCAGGGACTCCGGCGGTGGGATCTCAGTGCTGAGTCCCAGGGGTTTCCCTTTCTAAATTCCTGCCAGCCAATGAACAGCCAGACTTCCACTAATATGACAGAAGCTGAGACAGCAGAGAGTGACCATGGAATGTTCTGTACTTCCAGGACCGCCTGTACTTTGTGATGGAGTATGTGAATGGAGGAGACCTCATGTACCACATCCAGCAAGTCGGGAAGTTCAAAGAGCCCCAAGCAGTGTAAGGATTTATGGTTACCGGGGATTGGTTTCTTCTCTTTTGGGTGGGGGAATCTGTTCCTTCCATGTGTGGGGGAGATCTCTTCCTGCCCCAGGGGAGGGGATCTGTTGCTGCCCCTGGGTGGGGAACCTGTTGCTGCCCCATGCAGAGGGAGAATCTGTTGCTGCCCCAGTTCGCTTCTCGGCCTTTTGGCTAAGATCAAGTGTAGTATCTGTTCTTATCAGTGTCCAGGGGGGGTGCTCCCGGCCATTCTAGCTTTGCGGGGATGGCTGTTGTATAGTACCCTCACTGGTATGATGGGGGTCTGGAAGGCTAGTACCGGGGGGACAGAAAGCGTGGTGCCCACGAGTAGAAGCTGGGGCCCGTGAGTAATTCCCCCGAGGAGACCGGAAGGACCCAGTACCTCCTGATTTGGACGGATCTACTTTGTCTGGCCAGGGGTCGGGAAGGCAGAAAGTCCGCAGACTCAGTGCCCCCTGAGTAGACGCCCTCAGGGGTGCCACTAGTAACACCTGGGTGTGGGACCCCACAGTGTGAAGATGGCACAAGGTCACTGCGTTTTCACTCTTTTTGCACAAGCGCCCTTGGGACCAGGCCTTTTGGCTAGGACCAGGGCAATTTTTGCTACGGGCCTCAAGGCCTGATCTGTGCACAATTTGGCACGACCACTTTTTTATTTTCTATTTATTTAATTTATTATCACTCCCACGTTTTGTCACTTTTGTGTGTTTTCTTCACATGATGGAGGGTGTGGGTCCTCGGGCCTGCCCTGAAGTCTAGGGGGAGGATGTGGGGCCTTTTGGTTCCTTCCTCCCCTGTCCCTAGGGGGGTTTTCTCTTCGGGAGAACCCCCTGACCTAGTACTGGATGTCCGGCTTCGGCTGGACAAAAGGAACGGTGGTCCCCCAGGCCTTTTGGCCAGGAGGACCAAATGGGAACCTTGTCCCTGTCAGGAGCTTTGTGCCCGGGGGATCAGGGTAGCAGTCCAGCCCCTTTAGGGGTAGGACAAAAGCACACCCCTAAGTGCACTTTTTTTTTGTGAACACTTATGGGTTTTTTCGTTATAGTTGCACGTTTGTGGACTTAAAGAACAAAAAAAAAAATCTGTTGCTGCTCCAGTGTGGGGAACCTGTTGCTCCCCCCTGCTCAGGGAACCTGTTGCTCCCCCCTGGACAGGGAACCTGTTGCTGCCCCTGGGACAGGGGACCTGTTGCTGCCCCCGGGACAGGGGACCTGTTGCTGCCCCCGGGACAGGGAACCTGTTGCTCCCCCCTGCTCAGGGAACCTGTTGCTCCCCCCTGGACAGGGAACCTGTTGCTGCCCCCGGGACAGGGGACCTGTTGCTGCCCCCGGGACAGGGGACCTGTTGCTGCCCCCGGGACAGGGGACTTGTTGCTGCCCCCGGGACAGGGGACCTGTTGCTGCCCCCGGGACAGGGGACCTGTTTGCTGCCCCCGGGACAGGGGACCTGTTGCTGCCCCCGGGACAGGGGACCTGTTGCTGCCCCCGGGACAGGGGACCTGTTGCTGCCCCCGGAACAGGGAACCTGTTGCTGCCCCCGGGACAGGGGACCTGTTGCTGCCCCCGGAACAGGGAACCTGTTGCTGCCCCCGGGACAGGGGACCTGTTGCTGCCCCCGGGACAGGGGACCTGTTGCTGCCCCCGGAACAGGGAACCTGTTGCTGCCCCCGGGACAGGGGACCTGTTGCTGCCCCCGGGACAGGGGACCTGTTGCTGCCCCCGGAACAGGGAACCTGTTGCTGCCCCCGGGACAGGGGACCTGTTGCTGCCCCCCGGGACAGGGGACCTGTTGCTGCCCCCGGGACAGGGGACCTGTTGCTGCCCCCGGGACAGGGGACCTGTTGCTGCCCCCGGGACAGGGGACCTGTTGCTGCCCCCGGGACAGGGGACCTGTTGCTGCCCCCGGGACAGGGGACCTGTTGCTGCCCCGGGTTGGTCGTACCTCTTTGGCAGGTATGATACAATACAGCACACACCATCCCTGCGTCTCTTCAGGATAAATGCGTCATTGGCGGGATTCTTAGTGATACATTTCACTTGTTTTGGTGAATTTGTAGCTTTTTAGAGGCAATATTGAACGCGGCGTAGAATGCGCTGGTCTGTGTTGATCTGCAGTCGGTGTGTCTAATGTGCGCACCGCGAGGATTGTCACAAACCGCATTACAGAGAAGTATATTCATCCCGCTGCAGGCACGTCTCTCCTCCAGTTGTCAGCAGAGACGGCGCACAGATGCCCTCTGCCTCCTCTCTAATTGGCCGTGGGCTGACGCGATGCTCCCTCACGCTGAGTCCGATATGGCGGTCGAGTCTCAGAGCCGCCATTCATAGAGGAGATTGTGATTAATAATTAGACATTGAAGTTCCAAGTATGTGCACACGGCCGGGGGAAGGAAGAGCGGAACGCCATCTTTGGTCATAGCCGCAATGACACAACGCTACCCCCCACCCAGCCCCCGCCGTACTCCTCTGCATGCTAATCGCCGGTTGACTCTGCTTTGAAGAGGACGGCCACGAGACCTCCAATCCTGATGCGGGTGGCTGATTAATGCTTAGAGCCAATCGGTGTCATTAACCTTCACTTAGGCCTTCCAGCACAAGTCACTTTAATTCCTTCAGATCGATGTGTCGTTAGCGAGAGTCAAGTACAAGTCATGGCCGCCTTTACGGAACTCGGCGATGCTGCCCACTGAACATGTACAACCAACAAATCAGGACAAGAATATCATTACCAGCGGAAACTTGTCCCAAATCCACTATGAGTACCTGAACAACCCATACACCCAGTAACAAATCCTCCTACATAGGTTGTACCTGTTTATCTGTAGCACTCTCTCCTCTATAGCCTCCTGAAGCACACATTTTTACATTGTAGCCCTGAGCTCCTGAAGGCGGGGGGTGAGGATCTGGGAGCTGAGTGTAATCTGAGACCTGAGTGGGGTGAATGGACGCACGCTTCCTTTACACAGTTTCATAGGAAAACATGCACATCTGAAGCTGTCAGTCACCTTCTATGTTTTGGAAGGGGGTGGCCCATCTCCTTGGATGGTGTGTTCTTTGCATAGAGGCAAGCACACGCTATAGAAGAATATGCTTTGTTCATTTTTAATTTCAGAGGTTGACAACCACTTATAAATCAAATGAGAACAACAACATATACAATTATGAACTACTTCCGGACTGCCCGCCCGCAGACGAGCATCACAGTACCAGTACGTCATTGTCTGCTTCCCGGTGTAGGATCCATGATTGGACACAGCGGGAGTTTGTCAGCAGGTCCCAGCCAATGATCCAGGGCCAAGACCTGCTGATCAGCTGTGTCCAATCACAGCCCAAAGCCCTGTGTTGAAAATCAACACAGGGCTCTGTACAGAGGGAACAATCTCTCTGTTTCTTCTCCCTGCGAAGCAGGGATGAGAAACAAAGAGATCAGTTAGTAAAAGTAGCACACTGTACACACATTACACATAGTTAGGCACACATTTAACCCCTTGATCACCCCTAGATGTTAACCCCTTCCCACCTTACACATAGGCGCATATTTAACCCCTTGATCACCCCTAGATGTTAACCCCTTCCCACATTACACATAGGCGCACATTTAACCCCTTGATCGCCCCTAGATGTTAGCCCCTTCCCACATTACACATAGGCGCACATTTAACACCATTTAATTCGTAAACCAAAAATTACATTAACAGGCATTCATAAACCGAGGTACACCTGTATATAAGTTTATTTAAGTACAGCCTTGCATGACTGTGCAATTACCAGTCAAAGTAGCACAGTGCTGAACAGGACAAATGGCCTGGTCATGACGGGGGAAAACAAACCTTCTGGAGCTGAAGGGGTTAACAAATGCTCATGTTGCTGCCCTTAGGCACCTGGATGGGTGAATGATGTGGGTGAATGATGTAGGTGAATGCGCTGTGTCTCTGCTTATTTTGTAGCTGTACTGGAAGATGAGGATGAATATGGAATTCACAACATTGTCATGTTCTTTGTCAGGTTCTACGCAGCGGAGATATCGGTGGGATTGTTCTTCCTGCACAAGAAAGGGATCGTGTACAGGTGAGTGCGGGACTTGCATTGGGAGAAGATGAGAGGTTTGCTTTTTAAACCTGTGTAAAGGATTCTTTACTGTAAAAGCGGGGATAGGAGAGAATTTGGCTTCCACTAGACCTTCTTGTAGCAGATGTGGAAGATTTGGTTCTATACAGGGCCTGGATGGTTGTCATTCAAAACATAAACCAATAGGAGAGCCAGAACAATTGGTGGAAGAGTCCACACCACTTTAATGGTTATAAAAAAGCGGCAACGCGTTTCACAGTCCTGACCGCTTCACCAGGGAACTTGAATGGACTCAGGAACAGGCTTTGTATATGAATGTGTATAGGATAGGGAGAGCCAGCAACCTGCTGTGTCCGCATTATTGACACCAGGGGCGGACTGACAACTCATGGGGCCCCCGGGCAATAGGGAATCATGGGGCCCCTGTGTCCTTGCCCAAACTCAAAAAAGCCTATGAAAAAGGTACCAGGGGCATCTCATGGGGCCCCCTACTGACTTCGAGTTTCCAAATCGCAGTTCACCCGATTGGCACTGATCACAAGCTCCCCCTATCCAGTATTATTTCAGAAATCCTGTTATTCACTCCATCCAAGTTCTGACTAGATATTAAAGTAGAACTACAAACCATTTTTTTTTTTCATTTTGGATAGAGTAAGGGAAGGTTATTACCCCGGACAGTTTTATTTTTTCCCCTACCGTCTTTCAGGCCAGCACTCTGAGAGACCTCGGCTCCTCCCCATCTGAGGAAACACCTCCACCTACAATAAAAAAGCTCCACTCCCCTCTGACCCCAGTTCAGGTGTTTCCTCCGGTGGGGAGACACGAGGAGGCGCAGGAGGACGATAGGGGAGCCGAGGGCCGGATAGCCGGCTGTGAGGCCCGACGCAGCCGGGAGTGAAGGCCGGAGTGTCCGGCTGCATATCCTCCCAGGGCAGGCTGCCAGCAGTGAGAGTGCATCCCGGGGGACGGGACAGGGCACTTACCTGCTCTTCGCCCCCCGGCCCCCTCCGGCGAGGGGGGGTGTCGGGGTGGCCGTGGTGAGGTCTGGGGAGGATCGGGGGGAGTTCCGCTCCTTCCCATGCTGGCGGTCTGAGGGCTTTGCCGGGCCGGACGTCGGGAGACGGCGGTTTCCGGCGGAAGGGGCGGGCTTCGCCCAGGGCCGCGACTTCCGCTTCCGGTCGCGGCCTTCACACCACGGCGGCGCGAAATTCGAATGTGGCGGTGCGGTGCACAGCGGTCTGGGGGACAGACCTGCACCAGGCGACCACCCTCCGGTACGGGATGTCGGAGGCACCGGGACCAGGAGATGCCAGCACCAGCCAGTCGCAGGTAAGGTGCCTCAGTGAGGCCTCCCCCTACCTGTGGGCCCCTAGCAGAAGGTAGGGCAAGGGGTCTGTGGTTTTTCAGGCCCTTGTTGCTCTGCCGGGAAGCAGGGGGGGGGGGGGTGTTTAGTGTCGGACTGATTGGGCTTCCCCCCCCCCCCCCCCCCCCCCCTTTTTCTTTTGTGAGCACCAGCACAGAATGTTTCCTGTGCATGACATTTTGGTAGACACGATTAAGAAGGAGTGGCAAGACCCGGAAAGGAAACCGTTCTTCTCAAAAGCGTTGAGGAGGAGGTTTCCGTTTTCGGAAGACCCGGAGGCGGTCTGAAACAAGAGCCCCAGGCTAGACGCGGCCTTTTCCCAAACAACCAGGAGAACTGACCTAGCGTTTGAGGACATGGGGGTCTTACCGGACTTATTGGACAGAAGGGCAGAGTCTCTCCTTAGGAAGGCCTGGGACTCGACCCTGTACAACCTGAAACCGGCCATGGCTACGACAGTGGTAGCCAGGAACTTAGAGTATTGGCTTACGCAATTACAGGCCCATATTGTGGCAGACTCTCCCAAGGAAAAAATCTTGGCCTCTTTTGAGACCCTTTTGCAAGGAGTGGGGTATATTGCGGATGCTTCCGCAGAGTCGGTGAGATTGGGGGCCAGGTCTGCTGCCCTGACCAATTCAGCCAGAAGGGCGCTGTGGCTAAAGACATGGCAGGGGGACATCACTTCAAAAGTTAGGTTATGCGGCATCCCCCTCACAGGAGACTGTCTGTTCGGCCCGGGGTTGGAGGAATTATTGGACCGGACAGCTGATAGGAAAAAGTCCTTCCCCCTCAAGAGGAAAATGCAGGAGGGGGGGACACGGAAGGCCCGCCCGGCAAAGAGGCTGAGCCTGCGACCGCCTGGTCAGGGTAGGTCGGCTGGACAGAGAGGTAGGGGAAGAGGGGGGGCGATTTTTCGCCCTCCTGAGCAGCCCCAAAAACCAAGGTGACTTGGTTCCTCCTGTGGGGGGAAGATTGGCGGCATTCCTCCCACAGTGGGAAGCCGTGGTCACCAGCCCCTTCATTTTGGATGTCATCCGAAGGGGTTACCGGTTAGAATTTCTGAGACCGCCACCCGAGACTTTTCTAGTGACGACCCGTCCAAGGGATCCGACGAAGGACGCGGCTCTGGTGGGCGCTTTGGAGATTCTGGAGTCCCAGGGGGTCATCTCCAGGGTTCCGGTAGCGGAGCGAGGGAAGGGAGTTTATTCCCATGTGTTTGTGGTTCAAAAGCCGTCTGGGGCGTTCAGACTGATTTTGAACCTGAAACCCTTGAACAAGTCAGTACGTTACCGGAGGTTCCGCATGGATTCCATTTTTACAATCAGGTCCCTAATCCCACCAGGTGCATTCATGGCATCCATAGACTTGAAGGACGCCTACCTACACGTGCCCGTGGCGGAAGCCTCTCAGAGGTTCCTCAGGTTGGCAGTGGGGGGGGAGGAAGGAATTCGACACTGGCAGTTCAGGGCTCTTCCATTCGGCCTTTCCTCCTCGCCAAGAGTATTCACCAAGGTTCTGTCGGAGGCACTGATTTCTATCCGCTTGAGGGGGATTTCAGTGGTGGCCTATCTGGACGATTTGCTGCTCTTCGCAGATTCAGAGGCTCACTTACGGCAAGACCTGGTTATAGTGAGGAACCATCTGGAAAGCTTGGGGTGGGTTTTGAATCTGGAGAAGTCCTGCCTGGTGCCTTCTCAGAAGGTGATTTACTTGGGCTACACTCTAGACTCGGTAGACCAAAAGACCAGCCTGACTTTGGAAAAGGTCACCAAGTTGGAGGCCGGAGTCAGATTACTGCAGGGGAGCAGGTCGATGTCCATAAGACAGGCCATGTCGGTACTTGGATTGCTGACAGCGTCCATTCCGGCAGTTCAGTGGGCAGGTCTGCATATGCGTCCCCTCCAGTTGTGGATCCTGAGGGTTTGGGACAGGAAGTGTCACTCCCTAGAACGCAGGGTCTTGGTGCCCCCCAGTGTGAAAAGGTCTCTATGGTGGTGGAGGAGATCGTCCAGCATAACTCAGGGGCTGTTGTGGTGCTTTCCGATTTCCGCGGAGGTCACTACGGATGCCAGCGCCAGGGGCTGGGGAGCCCACCTGGGAAATTTTGTGACTCAGGGGGAATGGTCCTTAGGGCAGAAGGACAAATCCTCGAATTGGAAGGAATTGAGGGCAGTGTGGGAGGCTCTGCACTCCTTCCAGGCGGAGGTCAGGGGCCGGCACGTGCGTGTCCTGACGGACAATGCCACGGCAGTGGCTTATATAAACAGGCAGGGAGGGACGCGGAGCAAGGCCCTCGGGGCCTTAGCGGCGACACTGTTGTCCTGGGCAGAACTGAATTTGGCGTCCCTGTCTGCGATACACTTAAAGGGGGAGCTGAACCAGAAGGCAGACTTCCTGAGCAGGACTCGGCTCAGGGAGTCGGAATGGGCCTTGAACCCCGATGTCTTTCAGGAGATTGTGCGAAGGTGGGGATCCCCGGATGTGGACCTTTTTGCCTCCGGAAGGAACAACAAGGTCCCAAATTTCTTCTCTCTATCCCGCTGGGACGGGTCCAGAGCGGTGGACGCATTAGGTCAGAGGTGGGACTACCGGCTTTGTTACGCCTTCCCCGGTTCCTTTGCTCCCCCTGGTCCTGAGGAAATTCAGGACAGAGGGGACCTCGTTAATACTGATAGCTCCCTTCTGGCCGCGGCGGGCGTGGTTTGCGACCCTGAAGAGTTTGGCCTCTCGTCCACCCTGGGAGCTGCCTCCAAGAGTGGATTTGTTAACACAGGGGCCGGTTCTTTGCCCCAGCATAGGAAGATTGCGGTTAACGGCCTGGTTTCTGAGCAGCAGCTCCTCTTAGAAAAGGGGTTCTCGCCTAGGGTGGTGGCGACATTACTGGCCAGTAGGAAGGAGGAGACCCAGGCCATTTATGGTAGGGTCTGGGGTTGCTTTACAGCCTGGTGTGACCGGACAGCTGTGGCAACCCATAGTTTGGTTTCTGTGTTGGAATTCTGCAGGCGGGAGCGGACAAGGGATTATCTGTCAGCACGCTCAAGGGCCAGGTCTCGGCCCTCAGTGTGTTCTTGGAGACGCCCCTGGCCAGGGAGGCGTTGGTGAGTAGGTTTTTCAAAGCTCTGGTGAGGCAGAGGCCTCCGAGGTCCAGACCATTTCCAGTGTGGGATTTGGCCAAGGTGCTCGGGGGGATGACTAGGGCTCCATTCGAGCCCTTGGAGTCCTGTCCGATAGGTGAGCTCACCATTAAGACTGCTTTTCTGGTGGCGATTACCACGGCGAGGAGGGTGTGTGAGATGGAGGCCCTCTCGATCAGAACACCCTATCTCCGTATTTTTTCAGACAGGATCGTTTTCAGACCAGACCCGTCCTTCATTCCGAAGGTAGCTCGGAGTTTCCAGAGGGAACAGGACATTGTCCTTCCCTCATTTTTTCCTGACCCGGTGGGGGGGTAGATCAGGAGAGGTATCACTGTTTAGATGTCAGAAGGTGCGTTCTCCAGTATCTAGAGAAATCTAGGGAGTTCAGAAGCACCGAATCCCTTTTTGTTTTTTTTTAAGGGGGCTAGAAGAGGCAAGAAGGCGTCTAGAAGGACGCTGGCCAGCTGGCTGCGGCTGGCGATTACTGGAGCATATCAGGCAGAAGGCCTGGAGGTCCCGGAGGGTATCAAGGCACATTCCACCCGAGCTGTGGCGGCTACCCAGGCAGAGTTAGCAGGGGTTTCCCCAGGGCAGATTTGCAGAGCGGCAACATGGTCCAGCTATGACACATTTGCCAAGCATTACAGACTGGACCTGGTCTCGGTGCAGGAGCAGGACTTTGGTCGTAAGGTCTTACAAGCAGTTAGCCCGCCCGAAGGGTGAGTACTCGCTTATCCTCTCAGAGTGCTGGCCTGAAAGACGGTAGGGGAAAAACCAAGTTACACTTACGGTAACGTCTTTTCCAGGAGTCTTTCAGGCCAGCACCGGTTTCCCACCCACACTGTTGATATTGGTTATGTGAAGATGGCTTATTATGATTGTGTTGTCTCGCATTGTGTCTCCCCAGATGACCGGAGGATGCTTGGAGAACTGAGGTCAGAGGGGAGTGGAGCTTTTTTTATTGTAGGTGGAGGTGTTTCCTCAGATGGGGAGGAGCCGAGGTCTCTCAGAGTGCTGGCCTGAAAGACTCCTGGAAAAGACGTTACCGTAAGTGTAACTTGGTTTTTTTCCATCTGTCCCATTAGGGAGATATCTCTTCACTTCCTGTCCTATAGCCAAAACAGGAAGTGAGTGATAATCCCCACCCATTAAGGGAATTCCTTGGGGACCCCCAGGTCCCCATTGGAAAATTTCCCATCTATTATTTTTCGGGGGACAACCCAAAATGTGGGGTTTTCTTTACTTTCACTTTTTCTGACACTGGTAAACAGGACAAATAGAGAGGGGAGAATCTCCCTAATGGGAGCAGGGACAGCAACAAAAATCAGGTGTTCTAGTCCATCTTCCCCTCTATCCAAAATTCAAAATAAAAGTTTTGCCTTTAGTTATAGTTGAAGCCTTGATGACGGGGGAGTGGTCTGGCCCCGAAACGCGTCGGCTATTTCTTGCGCTAACCATGACATTGGTTTGGTCTGGTGCTCCGTCTTTTTGGTTTCTGCTTTCTGTCGGTTGGCTCTGTGTGCCGGAACATCCAAGGGAGCCAATCTTTCCTCACACTGCTAAAGAATAGCCTCCGCCCTCACTTCCTGTACCAGTGACACCCGAAGAGGAAAGGCGAGGGGGGGGTAGGAGTGGGGGTTTCTCTTTTTTTTCTAGAGGTGTAAGGGTATTGTATGCTGTTGAATATTTTGGAAATTTTTCTTAACTTGTAATGTGATTTTTTTTTTTTAATGAAAAAATAACAAAGAGGAAATGGGGAAGCATAGAGCACCATAGAGTTTGGCTTTCTTCAGACGCCGGCTGGTACTGGTTCTTGTCAAATGGATTTTGTCTGCTGAGAAAACATAAAGCGGGGGAGTGGGACACGCCCAACGTGAGGAGTCTGCATGAACAGGGGGGCCAAGTGCCAAACGGTCAATTCAAAAGTCCAAATCTCCTTTATTATTGACAGTAGACACATCCAGTTGAAATAAAGTTGCTAACATCTTTGTCAAAGAATCGCCTTTCATCAGGGTTCAGCCTTGGTTGTTCCATTATAACCTCCTGGACAGGAGTACAGGTGAGCATGCAGAAGTCCATGGCTGTACAGCGGCGTTCCCTTTTAACACATCTGTCCAGGAGGCCATACCTGTGTTGCTGTGACTAATGATCCGGGACTATATGGAACAATACATTTTACTTACCAGGTATTGTATTTAGAAGCTGGGTTTCTCCATTCATATGCTAATTAACTTGTTTTGCTGGTCCATGGAGGTCATGGAACAGCAAGTGATGTGGGCAGGAAGAAGGGGGAGGGAACAAAGGACTTCCATCTTGGAATTCTAACCACCAAATCTGAACCCCAAAGTGGGGGGATCCCTTGGCTCCAAAACATGTTGGATACTTTCTTTCCACTGGATGTGACTTTACTGTCAATGATAAAGGAGATATAGACTTTGGAATTGATGGTCTGATACTTGGTCCCTTCTGTTCAAGCAATGAATACCTGGCAGAGGATCCAACCCTACCAGCCAAAACTAAAAAGAATGTTTAACCTGGAGTTGGTGATGCCAATAATATGGCAGTATACAGGGAGGGGTCATGGTGGCTCCTATCACTTCCTGCAGCCTAGAATAAGCACTGACTGGCTCCCCTCCCCCCACAGAGATCTGAAGTTGGATAACGTCATGTTGGACGCCGAAGGTCACATAAAGATCGCAGATTTTGGAATGTGTAAGGAGCACATGGTGGACGGTGTGACAACTCGAACTTTCTGTGGAACCCCAGACTACATCGCCCCCGAGGTACCTGTTCTTCCACCTTCCCAGCCTATTGGCTCTTACTGCATGTGACTGTCTGTGTTCACTATACATCACATCCTGTTCCTCCCCACAGACTGGAAGACACGCCCACTGATTATCCCTAAACCAATGTTGTTACCGCGCCGTCTACATCTGGGAGGGGGTTGTAGCTTCTTACACTGAGAAGGTGTGACGATGGGGGATCATTCCTACAGTGTAGGGACCTGTCCTGTCAGTAGGCAGTCACATGCCTCTATACCATGAACCCCACTGATCGAACCTACCCTGGATGTAAATCCTCATTTTTGGGGGATTTAGGATCAGGGAATGATTAGGATTATGTTAATTTTTTTTTTTAATTTCCTATCCTGGAAACACAGTGGGAGGTACCATGAAATCTCTCTTCCATGTTGTCACTGGAACAGGTGTCTCCATAGGAAGATATCTTCTCATTTCCTGTTCTGGTGACAACTTGTAATTTTCCTATCAGTTTTCTGCCTGTGACAGAGGTGGGTCTTTCTAGTAAAGTAATTGTAAAGGCTCCATGCAGTCTGTACATGAAGGTAAAAAAAACCCTTCTGTGTGCAGCTGCCCCCCCTCAATACTTTCCTGAGCCCCATTTCCATCCAACAATGTGCACGGGAGTCTCGACTCTCCGGGGACTCTCCCTCCTTACTGGGTGAGACCGCAGCAGGAAGCTCTCAATCACAGTACAAAAAATGGCCACTTTTGTTGTTTGGCTCACAATCACAGCCAGTGAGCCAATGAGGAGAGAGAGGGGGTGGGGCTGAGCTGTGGCGCTGTGTGTGAAAGGACACACAGAGCAGCCGCTCGGGAGTGAGCTTACTTGGGTGCCTCCATAGCAATCTGCTTGCTGTGGGGGCGCTCAGCAGGAGGGAGGGGCCAGGGGCACCAGCAGGGGACCTGAGAAGAGGAGGATCAGGGTTGCTCTGTGCAAAACTATTACAGAGCCGGGAAGTATAACATTTTTTTAAATTGCCCTTAATATCACATTAACTAACCCTTCCAGCACTGAAAAAAAAAGTCTTGTCTTTCATCCACTTTAGGAGGTTGGGTGCTGTGCAGAGTTCTGGTTGTAGCACATGTTGATGCAGAAACATGCCATCAGTGGTCTGTCGGTGGCATATTTCAGGACACAAAGCCTGTATACTGTACATTGTCTGCTCTCTGTGTTTTAGTGTATCTCTGCCATTGTCTGATCCCTCAGGAAGAGCTCCGCTATTAATCATGAGTGTCACCATCACCTATAATAGAGCCTTCAGTGGGGGTGGAGCCCGCAGCTTCTCTCTAGGGGTGGGGGAGATTCTATAAATGTAGAGGGGAATTGGAGCGCCTCCCTGTGCTCTGGGGGTCCCTTGTCACGGAGGCCTGTCATACGGCTGCCATCTAATTACTTCCTACACTGACAGGCTGGGCGGTGCAGGCTGTGCTCAGGGTCTGGGGATCTCTTTGGCGGGGTGGAATTGGTAGGTGTGTGGGGTGGTGTGTGATCACTACACAGGAGGGTGGAATGAACATTGATTTATGGATATGTCCTACACACACAGAGGGAGGACTGTATGGACTACAAGGTATTTATTTATTACAGGTACTTATAATGCGCCATCAATGTACGCAGCACTTCACATATATATATATATTGTACATTCACATCAGTCCCCGCCCCCGAGGAGCGTACAATCTAAGGTCCCTAACTCACATTCATACATACACATACTAGGGACAATTTAGACAGGAGCCAATTAACCTCCCAGTATGTCTTTGAAGTGTGGGAGGAAACTGGAGAATCCGGAGGAAACCCACACAGGCACAGGGAGAACATGCAAACTCCAGGCAGGTGGTGCCGTGGTTGGGATTCGACGAACCAACGACCCGAGTACTGCCAGGGGGAAGTGCTAACCATTTAGTCACTGTGCTGCCCATGTAACAATGTAACTATCTGGTTCCTTTTACTATACTAAGATAATCAGTATTTCCCGTGTACCTTCCAATGTAAAGGCGGATAGGTGATGACCTGATGAGAATATTTGGGGTCTTCCCCAGACACCCTCAGTTGGTGAGGGGGGGGGGGGGGTTAGGGATCAGGAAAGGTGGATCTGTCTAGGTGTTTCATATTTACATAGCTGGATAATGGCCGATCTTCATCCCTCGGGATCACACGTGTCTGTTCTTCATTGGAGGAAGCTGCATTCACTCTGAGTTTTCTGCTCCTTCTGTTTGTATTGGAATATATTCGGCTATTATTTACAAGGGCCATGGCTAAATCTCCTATCTACGGCTTTTACTCCGGTCAATCTTCCCTCCTATATTAACCGCTGCTCAGATTAGCATAGAATTCTTCAATTATATCCTTGAACCTCATCGGAGATGGAGCCTCTCAGCAAGGCCAGCGTCCTCTATAAGATGGAACTCCAACCAAAAAGTTGTTTCTTTTTTACTGTAACCAATGTGAAGGGTTTAATGGATGTCTGTGTCCCCTGTGGGTAGATTTCCCCTCACTTCCTGTGTGGACGACAAGGATTAAGCAGCCCACAGATTGTGTGCTTTTCTTTCCTTCCACCTGTGGCGGGTTGATTCCCCTTCCTTTAGTACATCAGAACATTTTTTTGTAGCCTTCCCCAGATCCGTGCCTTGCAATCATCCTGTCTCTGAGCTCTGCAGGCAGTTCCTTTGCTCTGATGCAGTATGCATTGTCAGCTGTGAGGTGTGTCGTTTTCCCAAATCATGTCCAATCGGTACGTGGTCTGTACACAAAGCATCCTCGGTTTTGGGTTTTGTACAATACATTGTTATTGCTGTCTGTACTAATTGGCTGATTTCCTCAGGAAGGTTTCTTGTCTAGCTAATGGTGTAAACATTTCCCGGTAGTGGATTGGACGTCGGGCCCGATGCTTCCTTTGTGCCCGATGCTTCCTTTGTGCCCGATGCTTCCTTTGTGCCCGATGCTTCCTTTGTGCCCGATGCTTCCTTTGTGCCCGATGCTTCCTTTGTGCCCGATGCCTCCTTTGGGCCCGATGCTTCCTTTGGGCCCGATGCCTCCTTTGGGCCCGATGCCTCCTTTGGGCCCGATGCCTCCTTTGGGCCCGATGCCTCCTTTGTGCCCGATGCCTCCTTTGGGCCCGATGCCTCCTTTGGGCCCGATGCCTCCTTTGGGCCCGATGCCTCCTTTGTGCCCGATGCCTCCTTTGTGCCCGATGCTTCCTTTGTGCCCGATGCCTCCTTTGGGCCCCATGCTTCCTTTGGGCCCCATGCCTCCTTTGGGCCCGATGCCTCCTTTGGGCCCGATGCCTCCTTTGGGCCCGATGCCTCCTTTGTGCCCGATGCCTCCTTTGTGCCCGATGCCTCCTTTGGGCCCCATGCCTCCTTTGGGCCCCATGCCTCCTTTGGGCCCCATGCTTCCTTTCGGTCCGATGCCTCCTTTGGGCCCGATGCCTCCTTTGGGCCCGATGCCTCCTTTGGGCCCGATGCCTCCTTTGTGCCCGATGCTTCCTTTGGTCCCGATGCCTCCTTTGTGCCCGATGCCTCCTTTGTGCCCGATGCCTCCTTTGTGCCCGATGCTTCCTTTGGGCCCGATGCCTCCTTTGTGCCCGATGCTTCCTTTGTGCCCGATGCCTCCTTTGTGCCCGATGCCTCCTTTGGGCCCGATGCCTCCTTTGGGCCCGATGCCTCCTTTGGGCCCGATGCCTCCTTTGGGCCCGATGCCTCCTTTGGGCCCGATGCCTCCTTTGGGCCCGATGCCTCCTTTTGGGCCCGATGCCTCCTTTTGGGCCCGATGCCTCCTTTGTGCCCGATGCCTCCTTTTGGGCCCGATGCTTCCTTTGTGCCGAGTTAATCCTCTTGCGATAAGCACTACTCGTAGTCAATCCTTTGTTGGCGCTTTCAGTGCAGCGCCGGGCTCTGGAAATGACGGTCGGGCGTCAGCGGCGGCACTTTGAGGTGCTATAATCCGCTTTAATGCTTTCAGCGCCATAAGACGGCCTAAATAACATCAACAAAGCGGACGATGAGGCGACGCACCTGAGCCCCGCAGAAACGGCGCTTATTAAATATTAGAGGAGAAGAAATCACAGGAAAAAGCCGGTGACACTGTAATGATTGTGCGCGGCGGGGGCTCGGCCTAAATCCTGCAAAATGTCCCAGTGCATGTCCCTCACACAAAGCCGGAATACCCCAGAGAAATTCATTTTCTGCGGCAGGAAACAGTGGGGAGAATGCAGCTGGGAGCGCGGCAATACGCTGGAGGCTCTCCAGATCTAATCATCAGCAGGCCGCGGTCATCTCCTGACACCCCACAGGATTACTAATTCCTAAAGGTATAAGGGCAGAAATACAACAATGTTGTGTATATATATATATATATATATGCCCAAAGTATTGTCCCCGCCCTCCAATCATGTGATTCAGGTGTTACAATCCCCTCCATATCATGTGTTTCAGGTGTTACAATCCCCTCCATATCATGTGATTCAGGGGTTCCAATCACCTCCATATCAGTGATTCAGGTGTTCCAATCCCCTCCATATCATGTGATTCAGGTGTTCTAATCCCCTCCATATCATGTGATTCAGGTATTAGAATCCTCTCCATATCATGTGATTCAGGGGTTCCAATTCTCTCCATATCATGTGATTTAGGTGTTCCAATCCCCTCCATATCATGTGATTCAGGTGTTACAATCCCCTCCATATCATGTGATTCAGGTGTTACAATCCCCTCCATATCATGTGATTCAGGTGTTACAATCCCCTCCATATCATGTGATTCAGGTATTAGAATCCTCTCCATATCATGTGATTCAGGGGTTCCAAATCACCTCCATATCATGTGATTCAGGTGTTCCAATCCCCTCCATATCATGTGATTCAGGTGTTCTAATCCCCTCCCAATCATGTGATTAAGGGGTTCCAATCCCCTACCAATCATGTGATTCAGGTGTTCCAATCCCCTCACAATCATGTGCTTCAGGTGTTCCAATCCCCTCCATATCATGCGCTTCAGGTGTTCCAATCCCCTCCATATCATGCGATTCAGGGGTTTCCAATCCCCTCCATATCATGCGATTCAGGGGTTCCAATCCCCTCCATATCATGTGATTCAGGGGTTCCAATCCCCTCCCAATCATGTGATTCAGGGGTTCCAATCCCCTCCCAATCATGTGATTCAGGGGTTCTAATCCCCTCCCATATCATGTGATTCAGGGGTTCTAATCCCCTCCCAATCATGCGATTCAGGCGTTCCAATCCCCTCCCAATCATGCGATTCAGGCGTTCCAATCCCCTCCCAATCATGCAATTCAGGCGTTCCAATCCCCTCCCAATCATGCGATTCAGGCGTTCCAATCCCCTCCATATCATGTGAAGCGCACAGTGCGCAGAAGTCACCAACTGTCTGCAGAGTCAATAGCTAAAGACCTCCAAACTTGGTGTGGCCTTCAGATGAGCCCAACAACAGTGCGTAGAGAGCTTCATGGAATGGGTTTCCATGGCCGAGCAGCTGCATCCAAGCCTTCCACCACCAAGTGCAATGCAAAGCGTCGGATGCCGTGGTGTAAAGCACGCCGCCACTGGACTCTAAAGCAGGGGAGACGTGTTCTCTGGAGGGACCAATCACGCTTCTCTGTCTGGCAATCCCATGGCCGTGTCTGGGTTTGGCAGTTGCCAGGAGAACGGTACTTGCCTGACTGCATTGTGCCAAGTGTAAAGTTTGGTGGAGGGGGATTATGGTGTGGGGGTGTTTTTTCAGGGGTTGGGCTTGGCCCCCTAGTTCCAGTGAAGGGAACTCTTAAGGTGACATTTTGGACAATTTCATGCTCCCACCTTTGTGGGAAGAGTTTGGGGATGGCCCCTTCCTGTTCCAACATGACTGCACACCAGTGCACAAAGCAAGGTCCATAAAGACATGGAGGAGCCAGTTTGGGGTGGAGGAACTTGACTGTCCTGCACAGAGTCCTGACCTCAATCCTATAGAACACCTTTGGGATGAATTAGAGCGGAGACTGCGAGCCAGGCCTCCTCCCCCGACATCAGTGCCTGACCTGACAAATGTGCTTCTGGAAGAATGGTCCAACCTTCCCATAGACACCCTCCTAAACCTTGTGGACGGCCTTCCCAGAAGAGTTGAAGCTGTTATAGCTGCAAAGGGCGGGGCCAACTCAATATTGAACCCTACGGACTAAGACTGGGGGGCCATTAAAGGTTGTGTGTGGAAAGGGCGGGGCCAACTCAATATTGAACCCTACGGACTAAGACTGGGGGGCCATTAAAGGTCATGTGTGTGGAAAGGGCGAGGCCAACTCAATAGTGAACCTTACGGACTAAGACTGGGGGGTCATTAAAGGTCATGTGCGTGGAAAGGGCGGGGCCAACTCAATATTGAACCCTACAGGACTAAGACTGGGGGGCCATTAAAGGTCATGTGCGTGGAAAGGGCGGGGCCAACTCAATATTGAACCCTACGGACTAAGACTGGGGGGGCCATTAAAGGTCATGTGTGTGGAAAGGGCGGGGCCAACTCAATATTGAACCCTACGGACTAAGACTGGGGGGCCATTAAAGGTCATGTGTGTGGAAAGGGCGGGGCCAGCTCAATATTGAACCCTACGGACTAAGACTGGGGGGCCATTAAAGGTCATGTGTGGGAAAGGGCGGGGCCAGCTCAATATTGAACCTACGGACTAAGACTGGGGGCCATTAAAGGTCATGTGGGGAAAGGCCGGGGCCCAATACTTGGGGCAATTGTGTGTGTAATTCATTTTTACGGAGAATGTCTGAGGTTGCCATTAAAGGCACTTCCGGGGAATATTAGGGCTGCGTTCAACTCAATATGTGCATGTAGAGCTGCGTTCACACTCTTGGGGCTGTGTGGGGCCATGTAAAGCTGCGTGTCACACTCTTGGGGCCAGTGTGTTGCATGTAGAGCTGCGTTCACACTCTTGGGGCTGCGTGTTGCATGTAGAGCTGCGTGCATCTTGGGGCGTGTGTTGCATGTAGAGCTGCGTTCACATACTTGGGGCGTTGTGTGTGTAGAGCTGCGTTCACACTCTTGGGGCGTGTGTTGCATGTAGAGCTGCGTTCACACTCTTGGGGCGTGTGTATTAGAGCTGCGTTCACACTCTTGGGGCGTGTGTTGCATGTAGAGCTGCGTTCACACTCTTGGGGCGTGTGTTGCATGTAGAGCTGCGTTCACACTCTTGGGGCGTGTGTTGCATGTAGAGCTGCGTTCACACTCTTGGGGCGCGTGTTGCATGTAGAGCTGCGTTCACACTCTTGGGGCGTGTGTTGCATGTAGAGCTGCGTTCACACTCTTGGGGCGTGTGTTGCATGTAGAGCTGCGTTCACACTCTTGGGGCGTGTGTTGCATGTAGAGCTGCGTTCACACTCTTGGGGCGTGTGTTGCATGTAGAGCTGCGTTCACACTCTTGGGGCGTGGTGTTGCATGTAGAGCTGCGTTCACACTCTTGGGGCGTGTGTTGCATGTAGAGCAGCTCATTCATTTCAGTGGGCTGCCCTACGCCTGAGAGCTCAAAAAATTGCCTCACCCTTCTGAGAAGTTTCTCTGCACTGGAGCACGCGGTGCCATGCGTTTTGGCACATGCACTGCACCTAGACTTAGATGCGGTTCCCATTTGTACACTGTAGGAACTTGCCTAGAATGGTGCACTTTCCTGCAACACAGAGATTTGCTGCCCTTTTGCAGACACATGATGGTGCTGCAGCAGATGTAATCGCAGTCTATAAACTCTCCTGTGAGATTTACAGATGAATTGAATGTGAAATACTCCGGTCCTAAACCTGCAGCTTTTATTGGAATAATCCCTGGAGATCCCACTGTGAAGATCCTTGTTCAGGCGTTAATTGGGTGACAACGTTTTATTTCTGTCTTTCAATTGTCTTCCTGCGTTGTCACCCTCTCCACTGTTATCAGAATCAGAAAATCAATTGCCAAAGGTCATCTGATCCCCAACACAGATGTAGCAAAAGCGAGTATCAGTCAGAGGACTATTGTCTTCCTGTAGAATTGGGGGATTAGTATTGAGGTACATAGGCTGCGCCCTAATCCCAGGTTCCTGACTGCTCCCCGTGTCCTGTAATGTGCGATTAATGAACGGGACTTTGTTGGCATTCATAGAACAGGACAAGGATTTGATGCTAGACTTGTGAGCGCGGCGCTGAGATAATTCGAGCTCTCCATACTTGAGCCATCACATGGAGCGGCTGCATTGTACAGAGAGGGATGGCGGCATTATGTCAGGGTGAGGAGCTGTGGTCAGACTCTTCTAGACATGGATGACACGGCTCTCACCTTTCCTATTGTGGAAGGAAGAATCCTCTCATTACCGCAGATCCAGACGCAGCGGGAGCTCGGGACCCAGGCCTGTGGGCGCCTATTTATAATGAGAGGTCAGCACAAGGAGGAGCCCCATGGCTGGACTCGGGGTCTGAGGATCACAGTCATGGGGGGTAGATAGACGCTGTATTGTGACCTTTCTGGAGATCATAGAGAGTCACGTGACTCCTCTGCGGGGGGGTTCGGTATTCGGAAATGCCATGTGTTTGAAGTCTGTCTGGTTTTGGGAGGTGGATATAGACTCTGGCCTACTCTATACAATGTGGGTCAGTCTGGTCACCTGATGTCCTCTCAGCTCTTGTGCTCAATCTTTCTGGTCTTCAGATGGATTATCAATTCAATGAGATGAGGCCCTGGAGGTTCTTCAGGTGATAGAGCCTCCTCTTCTGTCCTATATCCCACTCCTGCAGGGAAGGTATTCTACCCCATTCTCTGGAATACACATACTAATGCAAGCCATACACGGGTCGAATTCCGAACAAATTTTCTTTCAAAAATTGTAACTTAATGCATCAGTTGCAGGAGCATTGTCGTGGTGGAGAATATGCAGGAGCAGTGTCGTGATGGCCATGTCCCTGTACCCCCAAATAATACTGTGTTCCGTCCTGTGTCCCTGTGCCCCCAAATAATACTGCGTCCAGTACTGTGCCCCTACATTGTGCCCTGTATCATGTCCTGTACCTTGTGTCCTGCACCGTGTCCCTGTGCCTTGGCTCCTGCACCGTGTCCCTGTGCCTTGCCTCCTGCACCGTGTCCCTGTGCCTTGCCTCCTGCACCGTGTCCCTGTGCCTTGCCTCCTGCACCGTGTCCCTGTGCCTTGCCTCCTGCACCGTGTCCCTGTGCCTTGGCTCCAGCACCGTGTCCCTGTGCCTTGGCTCCTGCACCGTGTCCCTGTGCCTTGCTCCTGCACCGTGTCCCTGTGCCTTGGCTCCTGCACCGTGTCCCTGTGCCTTGCCTCCTGCACCGTGTCCCTGTGCCTTGCGCCCTGCACCGTGTCCCTGTGCCTTGCGCCCTGCACCGTGTCCCTGTGCCCTGCACCGTGTCCCTGTGCCCTGCACCGTGTCCCTGTGCCCTGCACCGTGTCCCTGTGCCTTGCGCCCTGCACCTTGCGCCCTGCACCGTGTCCCTGTGCCCTGCACCGTGTCCCTGTGCCCTGCACCCTCCCTGTGCCTTGCGTCCTGCACCCTCCCTGTGCCTTGCGTCCTGCACCCTCCCTGTGCCTTGCGTCCTGCACCCTCCCTGTGCCTTGCGTCCTGCACCCTCCCTGTGCCTTGCGTCCTGCACCCTCCCTGTGCCTTGCGTCCTGCACCCTCCCTGTGCCTTGCGTCCTGCACCCTCCCTGTGCCTTGCGTCCTGCACCCTCCCTGTGCCTCGTCCTGCACCGTCCCTGTGCCTTGCGTCCTGCACCCTCCCTGTGCCTTGCGTCCTGCACCCTCCCTGTGCCTTGCGTCCTGCACCGTCCCCGTGCCTTGCGTCCTGCACCGTCCCCGTGCCTTGCGTCCTGCACCCTCCCCGTGCCTTGCGTCCTGCACCCTCCCCGTGCCTTGCGTCCTGCACCCTCCCCGTGCCTTGCGTCCTGCACCCTCCCCGTGCCTTGCGTCCTGCACCCTCCCCGTGCCTTGCGTCCTGCACCCTCCCCGTGCCTTGCGTCCTGCACCCTCCCCGTGCCTTGCGTCCTGCACCCTCCCCCGTGCCTTGCGTCCTGCACCCTCCCCGTGCCTTGCGTCCTGCACCCTCCCCGTGCCTTGCGTCCTGCACCGTCCCCGTGCCTTGCGTCCTGCACCGTCCCCGTGCCTTGCGTCCTGCCTTGCCTTGCGTCCTGCACCGTCCCCGTGCCTTGCGTCCTGCACCCTCCCCGTGCCTTGCGTCCTGCACCCTCCCCGTGCCTTGCGTCCTGCACCCTCCCCGTGCCTTGCGTCCTGCACCCTCCCCGTGCCTTGCGTCCTGCACCCTCCCCGTGCCTTGCGTCCTGCACCCTCCCCGTGCCTTGCGTCCTGCACCCTCCCCGTGCCTTGCGTCCTGCACCGTCCCCGTGCCTTGCGTCCTGCACCCTCCCCGTGCCTTGCGTCCTGCACCCTCCCCGTGCCTTGCGTCCTGCACCCTCCCCGTGCCTTGCGTCCTGCACCCTCCCCGTGCCTTGCGTCCTGCACCCTCCCCGTGCCTTGCGTCCTGCACCCTCCCCGTGCCTTGCGTCCTGTACCCTCCCCCCCAGTGCCTTGCGTCCTGTACCCTCCCCCCTCCCCGTGCCTTGCGTCCTGCACCCTCCCCGTGCCTTGCGTCCTGCACCCTCCCCCGTGCCTTGCGTCCTGCACCGTCCCCGTGCCTTGCGTCCTGCACCCTCCCCGTGCCTTGCGTCCTGTACCCTCCCCGTGCCTTGCGTCCTGTACCCTCCCCGTGCCTTGCGTCCTGTACCGTCTCCCCGTGCTTTGCGTCCTGTACCGTCCCCCGTGCTTTGCGTCCTGTACCCTCCCTGTGCCTTGTGTCCTGTACCCTCCCTGTGCCTTGCGTCCTGCACCCTCCTTGCCTTGCGTCCTGTACCGTCCCTGTGCTTTGCGTCCTGTACCCTCCCTGTGCCTTGCGTCCTGTACCCTCCCTGTGCCTTGTGTCCTGTACCCTCCCTGTACCTTGTGTCCCCGTACACAGCGACATTATGTAACACGGATCCCTTTACCTCTTCTCTCCTCAGATCATCGCTTACCAGCCGTATGGGAAGTCTGTGGACTGGTGGGCCTACGGGGTCTTGCTCTATGAGATGCTGGCCGGACAGGTGAGCACACCTCATGCTGGAAGTCGTCCATATTCAGGCTGCAAAGATAACATGTTTACCATGTAGATGAAGGTGAAGCCCCTCCATTGTATGAACAGACATGAGGCCGTGGTGGTGGATTGGATGATGCATTTGTCTTGGGTAGAACATTGTACAATGTATCTGTAGAAGAGATCTCGTGTACCTGGCACACTTCCTCCTCCAGTCACATCGATCTCCCTGTTATTAGCGTCGGTCCCAGAACCCCTGAAACATATAATCTGTCCAATAATGCTGTAACCACACCTCTCCTTTTGTCGCAGCCGCCGTTCGATGGTGAAGATGAGGACGAGCTTTTCCAGTCTATTATGGAGCACAACGTGTCCTACCCGAAATCCATGTCTAAGGAGGCCGTATCCATATGCAAGGGGGTAAGAGGTCCTAGAATCCTGAGCGGTGCAGGGCTTGTACTGAATGTTCCATGTGTGGACACAAAGCTCAGAACATTCTCCATCACTGCCTTTCCACGTACCAAACCCAGCAACAATGTAACAGAAAGGATTTTCTCTATATTGCAGCTTTCCCGTCCTTAGACATGGAGGCTGCAATAGGTTTCTTTTCTACAAGTATAACTAAATCCTCCTTGATCCTGCCAGAAATCCAGTGTCCTCCTATGCACTGACCTAAAATCTCATTCAATGTTATCAGCTTTCCCAGTTATCTCTGAGGACCACAGAACCCCCCCCCCCCCCCCATATTATAGAGTGGGGGGGGGGGCAGTCATGTCCTAGGATGACATTTCTCTTCCATAGATATGATGAGTGAGTGTTTGTCACCTTAGGAAAGGAAAGTGTGTTCCTGGCAGGATCACCAGGTGAAAATATAGGGGGGGGAAAAAAAGAAAACAAATGCAGCCACCACATCTGAGGTCTGGTAAGCTCCAATATATGCCGTTAGTAGTCTTTCTGGGTATAGATGCACTTTACCTGTTTTCACAATGGTGAATGCAGATCATTGAATGTGGGTGTGTCCTGTGTGCGTTTGCAGATCGGTAATAATACATTTTGGGTGTGTCTTCCTGTGTTTGCAGATCGTGGAAAATGTGGGCGTGTGTCAACAGGGCGTGTTCTCTGTGCAGATTATGGGGATGTGGGCGTGTCCAGATCATGGGGATGTGGGCGTGTCCTGTGTCAGATCATGGGGATGTGGGCGTGTCCTGTGTGCAGATCATGGGATGTGGGCGTGTTCTCTGTGCAGATCATGGGGAATGTGGGCGTGTCCTGTGTGCAGATCATGGGGAATGTGGGCGTGTTCCTGTGTGCAGATCATGGGGATGTGGGCGTGTCCTCTGTGCAGATCATGGGGATGTGGGCGTGTCCTCTGTGCAGATCATGGGGATGTGGGCGTGTCCTCTGTGCAGATTATGGGAATGTGGGCGTGTTCTCTGTGCAGATTATGGGAATGTGGGGCGTGTTCTCTGTGCAGATTATGGGAATGTGGGCGTGTTCTCTGTGCAGATTATGGAATGTGGGCATGTCTCTGTGCAGATCATGGGAATGTGGGCTGTTCTGTGCACAGATGAATGTGGGCGTGTTCTCTGGGAATGTGGGCTTGTTCTGTGTGCACAGATTATGGGAATGTGGGCTGTTCTCTGTGCAGATCATGTGTGGGCACAGATTATGGGAATGTGGGCGTGTTCTCTGTGCAGATTATGGGAATGTGGGCGTGTTCTCTGTGCAGATTATGGGAATGTGGGCGTGTTCTCTGTGCAGATCATGGGAATGTGGGAGTGTCCGCTGTGCAGGTAATAGAAATTGTGGGTGTGTCCTGTATGCAGATCATGCCATATAGGTGTGTCTGGCATACAGCTCATGCAGTGTGGGCGTGACTTATACAAAGACAAGAGAAAGTTGATCTTCCATATCCTCGATCAGTTTTTTGTACTTTATTTGATGTATTTATATACAGTATATACATATATATTTTGATTTATCTTCCTATATGCCTGTCATGAAATAGGGGAAAGGGGGCGGGGCCTATTGGCATAGGATACATGTGACTATTTTATATAAAAGATAACAGCCGCCTGATAGGCTGTCCAGATGAGGGGCACACATGGCTTACACACTGCCGCGGCTGCGAGCCCATATAGTGGTACATGTTGCTTTAAGTGTGGCAGGTCGCCATCCGCGGCTCCATGAATTGGGTATGTGATCCGTAGAGACGCACGATTCCGCTCCGTAATAAATGACATTATTATCCGGTGACTGGCGATCGCTCCACAGGACATTCCTTCTATTTCAATTCCGCGTTCCCATAGAAACTATTAAATGCTTTGGCGCAGCGTTAACCCCTCTGCTCCTGAATGGGTTCGGCGCGGTGCCGGCGTCCAGCAAGGAAAGGGTTACACGCACAGATAGGGTTTGTTGAACCCCCCACAACACACGCATCTGCTAATTAGGTGTCAGGACGCAGATCGTTAATTCCTATCTTTAATTAAGAGCCGCGGCCACTTACAGAGAGATGAGGCGAAACATTGAAATCGGTGCCGGAGAAGAACGCGCCGGCTTTATGGCTTCCGAGCGAACGCACGACGCTAATGGCGGTCATTTATCTTCCGTGAAAGAGACTCCCTTCTGTGTGTTTAAATCCTTTCCCGTAAATTGCCGGAATGTGACGCCGAAGCCACGGGCACCGACATAACAGAACAAAAGCCCGGCGAAGATCTTACACGGCCCAAATTCACTGACATAGCAGACAAAAGCCCGGCGAAGATTTACACGGGGCCAAATTCACACCTTCACCGCACTACGGAAAATGAGAGCAGCCTGCGGAGATTCGCTTCACATTTTCCTTTGATTTTGAGAATGAAAGGAATATAGAATTTCTTTCTCCTTTTCAACCCAAAACTAATAGCCTGATCCCCAACACCGGCCCGACCAACGCGTTTCATAAGAAGCTGGTTGTATGGAGGCAACTGACCATTTAGAAGTGGGATATAAAGACGGAGAGGGTCATAGTAAGTCCAAGGCCCTGGTGGTCAACCTGCAGCCTGAGGGACTCATGTGGCCCTTTAGTATATGATGTGTGGCCCTCAGCCATCAGCAGTCTGTTGCAGGAACATTGATTAGGGTAATTATATTGATCTCTACCAGCCGCATGTCACATCTTCCCGGCTTCCTATTGTCTTCTGCAGCAGATCCTCAGCCAACAATGTGTCCTGTCCTCACTCTCTGACCCTCATTTCCTCTATTAGTCTGCAGTCTCTGACATGAGGCTGTTAGAGATCAATGCCATTACCCTAATCAATATTCCCGCCGCTACAGACTGCTGATGGCTGAGGGCCACACATCATATACCAAAGGGCCACACATAAAGAAGACTGTCAAGAGACTGCAGACTAATAGAGGAAATGAGGGTCAGAGAGTGAGGACAGGATACAATACTATTACCCTAATCAATGTATCCACTACAGCAGGGGTGCACAACCTGTGGCCCTCGACCTCAAGCCAGGATAGCGCACTTCTATTATATCTTGCCGGTTTGGTGCTCTTTCAGAAACTGCCCCACACCCACAAGATATAATAGCAGTCAATGGGAAAGGGGCAGCTAAGCCGCAGGTGCCCAGGAGCGTGAGGGGTTGCAATAGTGACCCCGGCCCGTGCTTCAGAGCCTTCCTGTCACATTCTGTCTTACACTTGGCCAGGAGGGGCAGTGGGGGCGGCATATGCAGGAACCCATCTCCTCCAATTTCTTCCTGCAACGGCTGAAAGCCGGCTTCTCCTCCTCTCCCACCGGCCTTTAGCGGCTGCAGGAGGAAAGTGTTCAATATGCTGTTCAAAATGAAAAATTCAAAGTTCTGAACTGTTTTATTTCATTGTGGCCCGGACTGGTTACCAAATCACGTAAGTGGCCCTCACTCTTCCAAAGGTTGAACACCTGTGCACTGCAGACTGCAGGGCTCCGAGGGCCGCACGTCCTATACCAGAGGGCGGGCTGCATGAGACCCTGGGGCACCACGGCTTTAGGGCTCCGGATTCAGATGTGACTTGCAGGACAATGGCAATCACGTTGCTTCCAATAGTGCCTGCTCTCATCAATGCAGCACATCTATGATGTGATTTGTGCTGCTTTGGTGCATCTTGGCCCCATAGAATATGCAATCTACATCCAAAACACAACCAAAATCACATCAAAGTCGCCGATATAATAATCGTGCTGCAAACTGGGTAAAACCGCGGTAGTGTGAACCGAGTCTAAGCGTTCTTCTTTGTTTTACAGCTGATGACGAAACACCCGGTGAAGCGGCTGGGCTGCGGGCCGGAGGGGGAGAGGGACATTCGGGAGCACGCCTTCTTTAGGAGGATCGACTGGGAGAAGCTGGAAGGCGGAGAAATCCAGCCACCATTCAAACCCAAAATGGTGAGTGAGAAGCAGATCCTCAAATACCCTGAGGCGGGGTGGGTGGGGCAGGTTCACCTTCCCAGAGATTATCGCTGGTGCAGTCCAGAAATCGGTTTTGTCCTGGACCTGTGTAGGAAAAACTAGCTTTCTCTGGTGACGCTATGAGGGTGCCAGACGGGCAAATTCCAACAGCTCGGCAGTGACAGGAGCGATAGTAGACCGATAAACATTTCCAATGGATTCGCTCCCTCATTGGATGGACCAGTGAGATGTCACTTCATTGCTAGCAGGTGGGATTCTGGCCCAGCAAGGCCATAGCTCCATGGTGGTGGTCAGTGGACCCCTCACGTGGTGAATGGCCCTTCTGATGGTTGGCCAGTAATGTCAGCTTTCTAAGAGAATTTGGCCTCCACTACGCCTGCTCAAAATCTGCAGAATATCAGAAGAGAAGGCGGTGGGGGAGGTTAGAGAAGGTACATTGAATAATCGTGGTCACCATACAAAGTGAGCCAAGACCAGGATGTGTCTGTCCTAAATTCCATATCCTCTCTGTCACATATCACACCCAGCATGTCCTCCTCCATTCTCTGTACATTAGAAGAGAGACCTTTTATCTCTCCTTCCCGCCTCTTACCTGAGAAGGAAGAGATTCATGCTGAATCCTGCTCAGAGATGAGCCGCACGTCTTGTCATTGGCGGGTACACGGAGCGTTCCCATCACAATGTTCTCTTCTGCTGGAGGGGAAGGTGTCATACGTTGGCTGAGCCCCATCTCTCTGTCATCACCTGTCTACCTGATATTAGTCGTCTCCTACCCGTACCGTCTCATCAGAGCGAGAACAATTGCCATCCTCTGGAGCTTCTGTCTGCTCCGTGCCAACTCCGAGCCGATGACTTATCTCTCACACACTTTATTCTCATCCTCCATTCACAGCCTGAACCGCACAGCTGACACACAAAGAGCTATAACATTCAAAGGGGGCTCTTCTAGGGCTACAACAAAATGGTGGCTGGATTATGCCCATAGGGCCATGTCAGCCTTACAAAAATGTCAGCCTTTCCCCCCTTTTCTGCTAGAGTGCCTTGTGAGCCCCAAAACCAGGTAAACACCCGTCTGTGTGTGCCAGCCCCCACCCCCCTCCCCCTCTAATACTTACCTGAGGCCCCCATCCCAATCCAGCAATGTGCTGGTCAGTTACAGCCAGTGAGCCCAATCAGGAGTGGGACATGGGGAAATGCGTTAATCAGTGCTCTCCAGACAGAGGGTGTCAGGGGTTTATGCACCTGTCTCATAGAGCGGATAAAGGACAACCTCCTGCAAGTTTAACCAGTGCTCTGCTGGACACTGATAGAAGTCACAAGACTGCTATATACTGCTGATGAGAAAATGGTATTTTAGCAGTTTATATTTACTGAAATACATTGCATTTCCATGTTCTGTTGTACTGGGAAGTGGAGAGAGTTACGGATATAGTGAATGATCACGCAGGGGTCCGGGGAGAGCGGATATAGTGAAATGCGGGGTCCGAAGAGAGCAGGATATAGTGAATGCGGGGCCCGGGGAGAGCGGATATAGGGGGTAAGCGGATTACGAATGCGGGGTCCGGGGGCGAGTGAGAGCGGCGATATAGTGAATGCGGGGTCTGGGGGGGAAGCGGATTACGGCAGAGCGGATATAGTGGAATGCGGGGCTGGGATTACCGGGGACGAGAGCGGGGTACAGTGAATGCGGGGTCCGGGATACGAGGAGGAGAGCGGATATAGTGAAACCGGGTCGGGGTCCGGCGGGAGGAGGAGGATACAGTGAATTACGGGGGGAAGTACGAGCGAACAAGCTGGGTCCGGGGGGAGAGCGGATACAGTGATGCGGGGTCGCCGAGGTTCCGGGGGGAAGAGCGGATTCCCGGCGTGGAGCTGTAGTAAATGCGGGGTCCGGGGGGAGCGGATACGGCGGAACGCGGGGGTCGGATTACGCGAAAACACGGGGAGAGCGGATACGGCGAACGGATACGGGGTCCGGGGAGAGCGGGGATACGGCGAACGCGAGGTCCGGTGGAGAGCAGGGGATATGTAGTGATATGGTGATGAGCGGATGTTAGTGGGGGGGGTCCCGGGGAGAGGCGGGTATGTGGGAAGCGAAACTGTGAATGGCGGGGTCCGGGGAGAGCGGATATGGTGGAGAGCGAGTTTGAAGTGAATGGCGGGGGGTCCCCCCCCCGGAGAGAGCGGATGTAAGTGAATGGAGAACGCGGGGTCCGGGGAGAGCGGTCGATATGTAGTGAATGCGGGGTCCGGGTGGGATGTAGAGGGGGATACAGTGAATGCGGGGTCCGGCGGGCGGCGTCCCCCAGGGGGACGCTATACAGTGAATGCGGGGTTCGGGTGGTGGGTCCGAGCGGATACAGTGGAATGCGGGGTCCGGGGAGGTGAGAGGGTCGGATATGTAGTGAATGGTCCGGGGTCGAACCAGGGTCCGGGGGAAGAGCGGATATGGGGGGCCCCGAGAGCGGATGTAGTGAACGCGGGGTCCGGGGAGAGCGTAATATAGTGAAATGTCCGGGGAGCGGAGGGAGAGGGGATGTAGTGAATGCGGGGGGGCGGGAGCCGGGCACCCACCAGTGAATAACAGTGGGGGGGTCCCGGGAGAAGGGATGTAGTGAATGCAGGGTCCGGGGCGAGCGGAGGGCGGATAATAGTGGAATGCGGGGTCCGGGGGGGGGCGGAGCGGATACATGAATGCCGGGGGGATGGTAAGTGGGAATTGCCGGGGAGAGCGGATACATGAATGCGGGGTCCGGGGAGAGTGGGAATATAGTGAATTGGGCGGGGGGTCCGGGGGAAAGCGGAAAGGTCCGGGGGGAGAGCGGATGGTATAGAGCCGTGAATGCGGGGTCCGGGGGGAGCGGATACATGAATGCGGGGTCCGGGGAGAGCGGATACAGTGAATGCGGGGTCCGGGGAGAGGGAATATAGTGAATGCGGGGTCCGGGGAGAGCGGATACAGTGAATGCGGGGTCCGGGGGAAGCGGATACAGTGAATGTGGGGTCCGGGTGGCGAATGAGAGCGGATACAGTGAATGCGGGGTCCAGGGTTTAGGAACACTTTCAGTTGTTTTTTTTCTCATTCCATAGAGATCTTTAGAAGGTATCAGAATAAACCTTGCAGCTCCCATATTTTATATTGTACATATAATTTGAGGATGTGTAGTTGTTCAGACTTCTCCCTCTCACGGTCGCTGAGCTCCTCCCGTATGTGACTAATATAAGACGTGGCCCGCGTGTTTATCGCAGAACTGCCGAGACATCCGGCTCATCTCTCACGCTGGGATGTGTGATGACACCTCTTCTTTATATAGAGGTATGAAGAGCTGGCGTGTGGGGAGACGGGACAGAAAACGCGTGCGCATGGGAGTGTCAGCATGGGTAGGTGATAGGGATAGGTGTCATCACGTCGGCACAATCCCCCCTGTATGGTGATCGGTGTTTCACATGGGAGGATAGGTGTCATCACATCGACATATTCGCCTCTGTACTATGCTGGAGATTGGTGTCACCAAGGTGGAGTCATTGTGTATGATGGAAGAATAGGAGTCGTGGTGTAGCTGTGACCCCCTGTACTATGCTGAGGGGAATTGGTGTCACCGTGTCATCATTTCCATATAATGGAACTCGCTCTGTGCTTGGTATATGACATGGAAGAATAGGTGTCACCCATAATCTCCCCCGAACTCTGCTCAGCATCTGCTGTGGGAGAATAGGCCTTACCGTGTCATCGTGTTGGTGTAAATGTTACAAACAACATAATAAAAACATTTACATATATACAGAAAAATAAAATATATTTATAAAAAACTCAGCCCAAGGTTGTGAGGAAGAGGCCCTTGTCCTCATCAACATGAGAACTATGTACCCCATACTCATTCACACGGGGGGGGGAGGGGGCCGGGATTTGGTGGCCCCCTTGTTAAAGGGGGCTTCCAGATTCTGATACTCCTCTTTCCCCTGCCTGCAGACCCCCACAACCACTGCCCAGGGATGTGGAAAAGAGGCCCTTGTCCTCATCAACATGAGGACAAGGTGATTGGGTGGGGGTCTCCCCCTTCCCCAAAAGCACACCCCACCATGTTGAGGGCATGTGGGCTGGTATGGTTTAGGAGGGGGTGGGGGGGTACTCACTTGTTTTTTCCTGGCCTGCTGGGTGGCATGCTGAGATATGGGGCTGGTATAGATTGGAGGGCCCTCACACTGTTTTTTTTTTTTTACTGCTGGTATTTCTTTTTGTTTACATTCTGCTGTCAGTGGGGATCGTGGTTGTTAAGGATGCTGTGGCTGGCCGCTCCTTAACAACCATGATATTTACTGGTTGCTAAGGAAGCCGGTGGCTGCCCGCTAATTAACAACAAGCTATTTACTGGTTGTTAAGGATGCCGGCGGGTGCCAGCTCCATAACGACCAGTGCTAACCGTATATATTCCTTGAATAACGCGCAGCTAGACCACGACTTTTTCAACAAATGCAGTTTTTTAATTTCTGTAGCTTAGTGATTGGACGTCACAGTCAGCTTACGCAGTATGTTCTGTGTGTTTTACTACTGCGGTAAATACTGCAGGATTGTCAGTGAACTGACATTCTGAATATCACATAAGATAGCTGGAAAAAAATGTCACGTGATCCAGTTATCTCATGCGATATTCTTTAGTGGAATAAAAGTAAAGCGAGCGCTCAAAAATCAGCTGCTGGAACACTCCAAGGAATCACTGGACCTCATAACAAGAGTAGTATATATATATATATAGTGCAGCGCTGCAGTGTCACAGGGCTCCTCATTGGCTGCTGTCATCTTCAGCTTCTGGGTCCTGATCTTTGGCCATTTTCATTGGCCTGGCCGAAATTACGCCACGTGCAGGAGTTCATTGCTGACGGCATTCCCGAAAATCATACATTGGGCTGCGTGTGCACAGCTCAGTATTCAGGGCGTACAGGCAGGAGGGTTCCAGATTTGCATCAGCCAATTCCTGGGGTACCTGGAACCAGGAGAGGGGATCTCTATCTACCTATCACTTTGGGCAAGAGGGCTCTCTGGACCTGGAGGTATATCACTGCACCCAAGGCTGATGTCATTATTTGAGAGGATGACCTATGTGCTTTACGGATCTGCATGCCTGACTGGTTATCTGGATAGAATTGCATACATGCGCATTTAAAATGCGCGATATTCTTTAGTGAATTGAGACCTGGATTTTCGGCAGATCAGCCCGTATTTGTTTATGCTTTTCACTTTTTTAATGAGAGAACGTACGGATAGATGTGTCCATGGGCTGAATGGGTTTTTATGCCCCAGGCAACATATGCAGCATCTTGAAAGTACCTTAAAAGGCCAAATCCTCCGATTCTAAAACACAGTTACTGCTAACATGCCATAAATTGCCACAGCCGGCGGTTTTCCGGCACAACAAGCTGACCTTGGTTTGTGTGTTGCTGTTCAAAGCTGAGAAGCGGTGACATTGTGTCCTTGTGTGATCACTACAAAGAGTCTTCGTCTGAGCGCTTTGTGTCCTCGGAGCGCCGTTCACGGTTTATGGGAGTAAACGTTTCAAACAATTCATAGAAGAGTAAAAACACATAGTTTGTTCTGAGGAACGGGGTGTACACTTGTACATTCTGCTCTAATTTCTGAGAATGTTCACCGAAAATACCTTCTCGTCTCATTGTGAGAAGACATAGAAAAAGAGACGAGTCGGAGTCAGCCTGTATTGTCCTTGCTTTGTCATCAGACTCGGCATTGTGTGGGCCCCCTCCACCCCCGGGTACAGGGGGAGCTCCCCTCCTATATGGAGGTATTTTAAGACGTTGTCTGGAAAGAACAGACATGACAAGCAGGACATAGATCCTCCCTGGTATGAAGGAAGATGAGGGTGATGTGTGCGCTCAAAGATCAGCACAAGATACAAAACATTCTCTGTATTGTCTGAGAATCTTCCCCAGTCTGTGGTCAACCAACGTTTGTTATAGCGCATGGTCCTTGGCCTTGCCCCCTACATCCGACTGTATATTAACCGCTTCCCGTCCAACATATGTACAGTATATAAATGTCCTGATGGCACGTGGTTGGTACCAGAATCATTATATGTGGGTAGTCTGAAATGTTCACGGCCCAACATGGAAGGAGTGACCACAAAGACATGAAACTCTTATCACTGCACCAAGCCACTCTTCCAGATGGAAATGGAGCATGCACGCTAAGCAGGTTTCATGCGCTCTTTGCGCCGCCTTCTTCCACTTTCTGCATTTGACTACAGGGGAGTGCCAACTGTTTGCAAAGTGATGGCAACAACAGCCTACTGGGATTCCAAGGGTTTGCAGAAGACTTTGCCATTACTTTGCCCCAGTGGTGTATTTAGGTTTCGTGCTGCCCTAGGCAACATAAAAATCAGCCCCCAATGGAGAGATACTGACCAACACCTCCCCCCCTCTTGAAGAGAGCCTGACATTGACCAATACCCCAGACCCACCCCCACCCGAGAGAGCCTTCCACTACCCCCACCGCCCCCCCATACACTGGCCAACCCCCCACCCCGGCAAGAGAGAGAAGACACTCACCTTCACAGCTCAGGACATCCCCGGGAATGAGAATCGGGCTCTGCATACACCATTAAGCAGCCCACATCCTCTTTCGGATCCCACCTGGTCCCCATGCTGCGTGTGCCCCTTCTTCCATCCCTTCTTCTGGGGTGCGCAGTGCTGCCCCCCTTAAAAATGCCACCCTAGGCAAAAGCCTTGTGGTAAATACGCCCCTGCTTTGCCCGCTGATGGAACACTTCAAGCTTCCTTCTCTGTGGGAATTAATACAGGCTGCTTGCCACAGTCCTGGATTCTTGAGAGGAACAGAAGAGCTTGGGGGTCACCATAGGTGGCGGTCATTTTCACAGTCAAGCAGATCAGTTATAACTGACAGCCAATCTCAGAATCCCAGAAGACTGTTGCCATCACTTTGCCCGCTGACGGAACACAGCCGCCTTCTTCCACTTTCTCCATTTTAAACATGACCGTGAGGGGTGCCCCCTGCCAGTTTCCTTTGCCAGTACGGGCAGGAAAGAATGTAATGCAGTGCGATCTGCACTGCATTAGGTTCAGTGGAGCACAGGGGAGACATGCAGGGTCTTTTAGATCCCGGGTCTCATTAAAGAGAACCTGCCACCAAAAAAAATCATCACCTAGGGGACTTTGTGTCCCTTTGTGATTAAAAAAAATCTGTTAAGTGAAAAAATAATATCCCCCCTCTCCCAAAATTTTTTAGGCCACATATATGTAAGAACAAATGTAAATGCATGCGTCGCGGTCATCTACACATGAAATCATAAATACACGGTATACATCACCACACTGCAGTGAAAGCAATATTTCTCCCACCAGACCTCCTCTGTAACACTAAACAGATGACCTAGAAGGGGCTTTTAAAGCGTCGCCAATAGAAAATACAGGCTAATGAAGCTTGGTGCCATATTACAGGCACGTGCAAATTTAAGGTTTGACATGTTGGGTATCTGTTTACTCGTGCAACCTCAAGTTTTATATTTTACAAAAAAAAAAAAAACAACATTGGGTAATTTATTGCATTTTCTGTGCCCTAAAATTAACTTTAGTGTATTTTTTCCTGAAATTTTGTGTTTCCTAGAGCTATGCGGTTAAATCATGTGACATAAAATTGAAGCTGCCACTATTTTATTCTCTAGGGTGTCTTTCAGAAAATGAATGTTTTGGAGTTTTATGCAACCTTCAGGCCTAAAATTATTTTTTTAAATGTATTTAAAAAAAAAAAAAAGGGAAGGGTTAAACCTGCAACCTGCCTCCTGTTGAACCTGACTTGTAGGAGACATTGCTGCATTTCTAACTTATTTTTTTTTCTCTCATGCAGTGTGGCAAAGGAGCCGAAAACTTTGACAAATTCTTCACAAGGGGACAACCCATGCTGACACCCCCCTGACCAGCTGGTCATCGCCAACATCGATCAAGCCGACTTTGAAGGCTTCTCCTACATCAATCCACAGTTTGTACATCCCAGCCTGCAGAGTGTAGCTTGATCACACAGACTCTGATTAGGACCTTCCGGGGGACATGAAGTCTTAACCCTACAATTTTTCAGGTCACAGCTTTTACTATGACACAAAAATAGGCACCTGTAAATTCTAGGGTTAATATGGTTTCTTGAAGGGTTAAACAAAAATCTTGTTCTCTTATTCAATGGTGGAGGCTGCTCAGTGAGAAACGCTGGACCATGCCTCTTCATGCGCTAAAACTCAATGAGCACAGTCCTCGCGGCTCCCGTAACTAGCGGACATAACACTATATTAAGAATATCACGTTGGCTAGAAGAAGGAAAGAAATGTTGAATAAGACCAAAAAAAAACAAAACGAAAAAAAAATGGTCATGGTCTTCCTACTTTACGGGTCAGTAGGTTGTTTCCCCCCGAGGACACCAGTCCTATCTTACATCTATATTGCCATATGAGATCCAGAGTTAACGGTACGTAGTAACGCTCTGAACTCAGTCTGGAACCCATCAAAGGTTCCTAGACAGGCCAAACTGCTTGTTGCCATGTAGAACACACATTTTCGATACAAAGCCAACAGTAAGTACAGCAGCAGTTGTAGATTCTAGAAGTTGCCTCTAGAATCCGCAACACATCGACGACGTTTTTTTTTTTTTTCAATGACGTGTGATGGCAGTAGTTTGGCATATGTTATATGAAGGTACTCCATAGAGCGTTCTTGACTCAGAATGCCATAACATGCCTTTCTAGCAATGGGCAAGGGCTCTCCAGGAAAGTCTTATTAATCAAACCTTAATAAATAATCACCTTACAGAACAATGGAATCCAAACGGATTTAAGAGATGGGTTCTGCTTGACGGTCATTTTGTTTTTGTTTTTTTTTTTTTTTTGTTTTTTTGGGCATATGCGTCATGCAATGATTTTTTTGCATGTTTATATAATGTATTCTTAATTGATTCTGTGATAAATTTAGCTGAATCTCCATTAAGAGTATTAATGAGAAATTTTTATAAAAAAAAAAAAAAAAAAAAAAAAAAGAATCATGCTATATTTGTGAAGGTTTTCTTTTTTTTTTTTCTTTTTGCTCATTTTTGGGCGTTTAACTTTGTTAGTTTTTAGGCTAATGCTCATTGCATTTTTATTTTTTCATATCGTCTGTGGAATAGGGTCTATGTATTTTCTATACTTACTCTAAACGCGCCAACCCCCCCCCCCCCCCCCCCCACTCTCAATCATGATGCAGGAGTCTCCATTATAACCATTTTCTTTGTCCTCACTTGAAAAACAACCCCCCCCCCCCCCCATCCTGTTTTCAGAATGTACTATGAAATCTATTATATTTGTAAAAAGGTATTCCTCACCTCAAAACGTTGGCACCCGTTGACAGCTTTTTTTCCCCCCATTTTCGCCTTGTTCCATGTCTGTAAAATTCCGATGTTTGTTTTCTTCCGGTTGCATGTCGTCGGCGAGTGCATGCGATGAACTGGTGCATGCTGAAAGGTCTGCGGTTTGGCTTTTTGCATGTTGATTTTCATGGGAACTCCGCCTGTATTCCATAGGAGAAAAAAAAAGTTGAGATATAGTTTTTGTTTTTTTGATTTTCAATCTTTTTGATTTTCAATCTTTTTGCAGTAAAAACTGAAAGTTGTGTTGAGATTTGTGCCAAAAATTAAATTTCTTAGCAAGCATTGCTTGGAGATGATGCAGTTCTAACCCATCGCGCCATATGGTGGACTTCACACCTAGTTTTTCTCCTTCCCTTTAATTAAACCATTATTAGTAGTCCCTCGAGAGTTTTGTTTTATTAGAAACCTTTTTCAGTTTCTACCAGTCGGCCAACCTAAACAAATATTGAAGTGTTTGTGCCACATTTGATGTATCTGCTCCATGCAGGTCATCTGGACACTGCCAGCTCTTGAGGAACCAATGGGCATCCTCTGCCAGACGTCCTGCCAATAGGACCTTTATAGCAGGCAGTAAGCTGATATGGATGAGCAATGGCAGTTTTGTTGTGTCCAGTTCTGCCAACTGACATCTTTTTTTATTTTTTTTTCCAAAACTCATGAAGCTCAAACACGATATAAAGACTCAGAAAAGTATATTTATATATAGGAAAAATAATATATAGTAATAAAGAAAAATCAAACTGTTTTTCAAGGACGCCTTTTGCAAATGTGTGAAACCTCTGCAGTGTTTTGCAATTCTGAATATTCAGTATGTATGAGTCCGTCTTATCATGAGCCGAGACTCTTCCACAAAGTTGTATAGAAACCCACAGCCATTTTCTTCACAGTAAACTGGTTACTGAGGAACTGAACTAGGGCAGGGGTCTCCAAACTACGGCCCAGGGGCCGCTTCCAGCCCACAGCTACGGACAGTGGCATATTGTTCATGTGCAAAGGTTAGGCATCAGAGCGATTGTAAAGTCTAAACATGTCATACTTACCTGTTCTGTGTAATGGATTTGCACAGAGGAGCCCCGGTCCACCTCTTTTGAGGTCCCCCACCTCCTCTTTTTCATGTGCCTCCATAGCAAGCCGCTTGCACGTGTATGTATCTATGGAGCCTTGCTGCTCTGCCCTGCCTCCTGTCCTTCTTTACACCATTTGATTGACAGCTGCAGGAGCCAATGGCTACTCCTCTTTTGTGAGTCCATGTGAGAAGAGAAAGAAGGGGGAGAGAGGACTGCAGCTGGACACAGCGCTGGATCCCTGACAGGCTCAGGTAAGTTTGGGGGAGGGAAAATAGTGGCGGTTTTTTACCTTAAAGCAGAGAATGCATTAAAGTGGTTGTGAACCTCGGATATGAAATATGAACAAAGCACATCCCTCTATAGTGTGTACTTGTCTCAGTCCAGAAGAATAAGTGTCATTTCAGTCTGCTGCCTCCTTCTTCTGCTGTCATTGCGAATCACCTCTGACAATTTTTCCTGGCACCAAAAGATAAAAGGTGACAGGAGAGGGACCTTCACCAGGCTGACAACCTCACCTCTGTCTCTGTTCCTGTGAGCTATTTGGAGGTTTGGGGGGGGTCCCTTTCCTCCAATCAGCTCTCAGAGCTCTCCTCACTGAGCTCTACAGAGTGTGACTTCAGCTCTCTGCCCTCTTTTTTTCCTTGCAGCTCAGACAAGCTTTGTACATTCAGCACTTTGAACAGATGAAGAGAATACTGCAGATATACAGGTACAACTTGTGTCGGAGGATTTGTTTCATCTCTGCATGTCACCTGAGGCTGGTCACTTCACTGGAGATATGGAAGGGTTTACAACCACTTTAAGGTCAGCAGAGGCTGCCTATGGTCTCCGCTTCAATTCCCCCCCCCCCCCATCCCCCCCATCATGTAACAGGGATCTCTAATTGGGACTCTGATGAGGACAAGGATGTAGAGGGGGACTCTGATCTTAATGGGGATGCTGAAGGGGACCCTGATGAGGACCCTGATGACACTGATGTAAGGGGGACTCAGATGTTAATGGGGATTTTGAAAGAGACCCTGATGAGGACACTGATGTAAGGGGGATGCTGAAGGAGACCCTGATGAGGACACTGATGTAAGGGGGACTCTGATGTTAATGGGGATGCTGAAGGGGACCCTGATGAGGGCACTGACGTAAGGGGGACTCTGATAGGCACCCTGATGTAAGGGGGACTTTGATGTTAATGGGGATGCTGAAGGGGACTCTGATGAGGGCACTGACGTAAGGGGGACTCTGATAGGCACCCTGATATAAGGGAGGATGCTCATGTAGACTGAAGAGGATGTTTTTTTGGTCCATGAGTTTTTGTACAGAAAAGCTTGGAGACCCCTGATCTAGGGATAATATAATCGACATTCATTAAAAGTATTTGTCCAAATGTTGTGAACTCTCCAGAATTCTATCGATGCCACAATTCCAGCCATGGTATTAGCCATAACTCAAGTATTCGCTCTTGGAATTTCAGCAACCTATTGGTAAACTATGGCGCTTAGATCTCCTTCCCGGGTCGTCTACGTTGTGGACGTTCGGTTGAAGATCATTTGGGATCCACTTGACATATATCCATAATAAAATGTACAGGCTGCCGTATACAGTGATCCGAGGTACAATGTACAGCTAGTAGGATTATCAATGTATTGGACTAGGTTACCATTTATCGCGGCCAGAGCTGTTGATTATTAACCTTTTGTAATGCATGTTGGGCCTTCATAATCCGTCCGGCGCTACAATCGTGAGAATCCACTAATACAAGTTATGAACCAAACTAGTTTTACTGCATTAAGCGAATAAAAGCAAACTACAGCGACGTATGGTATACTCTGTGTGTTATCACTGTATGGACAGAACCGTCTGCGGGGAGTTTATAGCGATTTCTGTTCTCTCTTTGTATCCTGTTGATTTATGATGGTACTATGCATACAGCGACTGTTCGGAGGGGCTGGTCTGGAGCACCAAATAACAACCTGTTCTGCATCTGTTGTTTTGGGTGTTTAAAGAAAGCAAAGGAGAAGTTTGTTCTGTTAGCGTAGTAACTTTTTTCTTATTTTATTTGACTGTGAAAAAAAAGAGCAGAGTGCAAAATATTGTTTTTGTTTTCTTCCCATTGCTCTTCACCCCCAAAGCTGTGTACTGTTATATGGGACGCGGGATATGGTGTCACTGTGGGAGGCTAAACATAAAGAATGTCGTCAATATACCTCACCTTTCCATTTCATAGTGGAAATCCCATGGATTAGCTATTATTAAAAAAAATATTGCTGTACAAATTTTCCATCATTTGCACAGAAGTCACAGACAATACTCGCGATGTTTGTGATACGCATGAAATGTCCATTTCTGATCCAGTGAAAGGTTTATGGTAAAATTCTACTTGCGAGCTAAATATTAGGAAATGTTCCTAACTAGGCTTAAAAAATTCTCCTTCCCGTTTCCTAACACCCATGCTGACTAGCCTGTGTAAGAAGGAGGTATATACCTACCTATTTTCTGGCCGCTCCGATACAGTCACATTTTCTGGCTCGCCTGTGTCAGCCACTGGTGGCTGTAGGGGAGA